CTATTAATTATAAAGCAAGTATTTTACAATAGTAGTAATACTGTTCAAGAAAGTATTACTTAGGAGGGACTGAATGTTAGGAATTGTAAAATACAAGTAACTAAGTTTGGAAAAGCTTAACTCAAGACTTGGGACTAAGTAGTTTATATACAAAACCCTATTAGTTACAAGTCTAAAGATTGGCCAGATCAACTAGGCTACCTTTGTTGTCCTGCTTAGTAAGAACTCCAGCTCAGCATTATTAACCTCTAATCATTACTAATGGGTGATTAATCCATTAGTAGAGAGAGGGGACAGGAAGGAGTAGGTACTAAGTCAGTTAGGAAAAGGTAACAAAACCTGAGGACAAGGTCTTTATCTCTCTAAGGTTAAACACATACTCTAGCACAGTATTACTTGATAACCTCAACCAAAGACAAGTCATTTAGAATGCTTGTATAGAGAGGGGATCTGGAAAGAGTATAGTGTCTAGAGTAAGAAGTATAAAGGAAAAGACTAGGAGAAAACCTAAAGAGATAAAAGGAAAATATTATACTTACATAGTTAGCTAGAAACACTTTGTACAAAGACAAAGGACTATTAAAGCTAGGAAAGAGCCAGAGCCAATACTCTGAAGCTCTATACTTAAGGAGGACTAGTACTAGTGAAGGAAAGGGAACTGAGAGCTCTGAGGAGAGACTATAGGAAAGTAGTCTCCTTTATACACTTTGCTCATATAGATAGGAAAGTAATAAAGTTATAAACATGAGGACTACATAAGGACAACATGAGGAATATATGAGGCAATCTAGAACTTTGGTTGTAAGTTCTATGATTGAATACAGAAGCATAAAGATAAGGCTAGAAGTTAATAAGGATAATTGTCTCCTAAACTAAGTCTATTAAAGAAGACTTAGGGAAAGATCTAGAACATTAGTTGTTAGTTCTAGAGTGTACACAAGACAGTCTAGAATTTTGGTTGTAAGTTCTAGGGGCAGTACAGAAGCACAGTCTTTTATATTACAGAAGACATAAAGAGTCATTAGAAGTCATAATACTCTACCTTATGAGAAAAGTGTATTACAAACAAGTGTACAGAAAGTACAGGTCAAGTCAGACAGAGTCATAGGAACAATAGAGAGCTCTACTTCATAGGAAAAGCATTATACAGCTTACACAGCATAACTAGTCAGGAGGACTCATAAGGAGTCATTAGAAGCATGAGAGGAAGTATAGAAGACATAACAATATAGTAAAGGAGTCATTAGAAGATTAATCTAAGATACAAGAAGACACAAACTAGTGTTAGCAGATTAATAGAAGACACAAACCAGTGTAGCATACAGTCTAAAGGATTAGCCAGCTCCACTTTATGGGAACAACAGTGAAGGGAGTTACTAAAGTCACTAGAGTAACATCACTCTAGTAAAAGGTATATAAGGAGGCTAGTTTGGCCCTCAAAAGATAGTTTTATTAACTTAAGTTACCTAGTACTTAGAAGTACTCTACTACTAGTCTACTAGGCTACACTTGTAGCTTGACTAAAGCAGGACTCCTCTACCCTCTCACACTACAAGTCTACAAGTCTTACCCTTTATACTCTATTCTGTTACTATTCCTAAGAATTAGGACTAGTAAAGTGAGTATATCTTACAGTAGCTCTAACTCTATACAGGAAACAAATTGAACAGTAGTTCAGACTTAAAGGAGAGTAGGATTGGATAAAGAGGATAGTTGAGTAGTAGCTTAGACTAGGAGGATATTGATTGAGTAGTAGCTTAGACTAAAAGTAGTATTAAGGTAGAGATGAGTTTTTTGACTCTTATATTAGGAGAGATGTGTTCTCTAAGTTAATAGTACTCTCAAACTGTGAATGTAGACCTACAGCCCTTAAACTAACTATATTCCTAAAGCTACCAGCTAGGATTTATGCTAGGAGAACAAGTAGGAATACAAGAAGAGTCAAAAAACTAAGGAACTACTATATTTACAAGTTGCTTTTTATAATAACTAAATAACAAGAGTAAAGTAAGGAATGAAACTTGAGAATAAGATTAAAGAAATAATAAGAACAAATATTGTGAAGCTAACAGGCACATTAGAGGCTAGGAAGAATTAACAGAGTATTACACATTAGAGAATATAAGTTAAGAGACTATTATACAAAAGAGGTACAAGTTACTATATTAAGTAAGAAATGGATTAGCTACATTGTAATTGTACACACTACCTTATGTCTCTATAGCTCTCTCCTGTACTCAATACTAATACAATCTCTATGAAACTTTGTAGAATAATAGATAAGATGTTAAGGATTATAAAAATCTAGTAGTAATATTGGTTTTTTGTAAAACTGATAAAGATATGAAGAAAATGAAATAGGTCCAATCCTACAATCCTAATAATCTCTTTACTTCAAGCACCTACACTTGCTAACAACCTATTACCTTCTTAGTAAGTCAACCTTCAAACCTGTCTTACAAGTACAACCTTGACCTTTACAATCTGTACAATCTTACAATCTACACACAACTCAACTTGTAGAGACTGAGTAGTGTTATGATTCTCTACTCTTGTACCTTCAGTTCTAAGGGTTCTACACCCTTCTGTACTAGAACTTAGGACTTCTGTCCCTCAGGAGTACTGTCTATAGACTATATGTAGGCTGACTCTTACTATTACCCTTCCTTACTTTATTATTCTGTACCTTTGACCACCCTTTTATTCCTTGTTCATTCTATAATCTCTTACTCTTTGTTCATTCCTTCATTCTTTGTACCTTTATCTTTGACCTTCCTTTCTTTCATCCTTTGTAGCTCATCATTCTTAGTAGCTCATATTCTCTGAGTACTCTTATATAGTTTAGTATATATAAGTGTACAAGATCAGACTGGTCCTGTAGTCTTAATCTTGTCTACTCTAGGTAGTCCTGTACTCTTAGACTCACTCTATATACTCTACTCTTGTCTTACTCTCTCTCTCTCTGTCTGTTCTACAAGTTCTGACTATGTTCTAGTACTTATATTCTATATTTCTGTTGTATAAGATAGTTATAGCCTGAGTCCCCTTACTAAGCCTTCAGGTCCCCTCTATACTGTTACTAACATTAGATTAAGACTACTCATTACTACCTTATAACTCTCTTATGTTTTGGGCATCAGTACTTACTATTGTGTTAATCTCTTTTCTTTGTCCTAACCCTTTTACATTTTTTAATTTTAAACTTTCTAAACCCTTTTAAACTTTTACCACCCTTCTTCTATTCATTACTCCTTTTAGTTTAGTGCCAATTCCTTTGTAGTGTAAACATGGACCCTTCTACACTAACTGCTACCCCTACTGTTCTACCAGATTAGTAGTTATGAGTAAACCTAACTTAATATGTATAAACCTCTATCTAAGAGGCCTTTACTAACTATATGCTCTCAGCCCTCTCAGAACCTGTTCTAATTATTCTAGAGGTTGTAACCTGTTCTAGAAAGAAAGTGTATGTAGCCTACCTTTCAGACTTTAATAAGTAGTACTTTAAGGACTTCTAGTACTAAGTTGAACTATATGTAGTTACTACTTTAACTGATCTATCCTCAGATCTTAATTACATCCTATTCATCCTCTCCTTCATAAAGGAAGGCAACACAGCCACCTGGGCCCAGAACTATATTGAAGGACATTGGATCAGAAGTCTGATCTGACTTTAGAACAATGAGTTGTATTCAGAATTTATAAGGCAGCTCTGTACTTCCTTCATTAATCTAAATAAGAAGTATAATACACAGAACAAGCTTGTGTCTCTGTAACAGGACAAACATTCTACTAATACCTTCTTTTAGGAGTTCAATATTCTGGCCTAGAAGGTAGGATTTGTACTCAGGTTTGATAATGTCCTTATTAGAATACTTGAAAAAGCTCTTCACTCAGAATTAGTTAATAAGATTCTTAGAATAATGTTAGAACTAATCACTTACACTAAGTAGAAGATGTGTACCATTTCCTTTAACCAAGCTATAGCTTGAATGTATTAAGTCTGTATAGAACACCTGTACATGTGTCTAGCTCTGACAGTTCTAAGCCCTTAGATTAATCTGCCTGTAATTTATAATCAATCTGTTCTAATAAACATTAGAGAAGCCTAAAACATCAGGAAAAAGTCAGATTTCTTGTAATTTCTTATAGACTTTGTAAAGTAACATATGTATTGTATATACATTATAAAGTAATTATAAGGCTTGTAATTGAATTGCAATGTTTAAATAAGACATATTAATGTATATAAAGACTACATAAGTACTAGGGATGAATAAAAATCTATTACATGTATTATACTAACTTTGTATAACAACCTAAAGTGTTATGCTTGTATTATATTTAAATTATAATCTTAAAGAAAGAGTTATACTTATAATATAATAATGTAATAATTACTATTGTTGCCTTATAATTTATACAAAAGGTATATTAATGTATATCATACTTAGATTATTTATACAAGCAGTTTACAATTATTGTAAAAGGCATTTTATCTACTTGTAATAATTACATTAGTATGTTTAGAAAGCTATATACATGTCATATTTCTTTTTACTGTATTACAAAGTAGATTAATAATTTTATTTTATACCTAAATACAATAATTGAAATGTTCTATCAAAACAAAAGTGATCTGCACTCTAGGTTATATACGTCAAGCCAGAACGTGGTATTATACCGGTGCTTACAATGCACTCATGCACTGATACACGAAATCCATGATATAAGTTATTGATAACAGTGGAGGACACGTTTCACGTGTGGGAACTTGCACCCAAGAGTCAAGTTGCTGAAATGCACATGGACGCCCTACCATAAATACTAGTTATAAAAAAAATAGAACTTCAAAACACATAACTATCCTTTGTACAGTAACGTGCTCAGTATTAATCTTCATTCTCTGTTCTTAAAAAAAGGTGTGAAAAACATGGTTCATTGACAGCCGATCCACGTAGTTTGATTTTGACCATGTAATTTAGGTGCCCTTAGATTTCTTAGTAAAGCGGCGGAACAAGGGTTTCGTCTGCGAATGCTGTTGAAGAACAAAAAATAGTGACAAGTACAATATTAGAAAAGGACCGGCGAGGCCAGTGAGAGTGCTAACATAGCACTAGCAAGGCGGTGCATATAGCCAGAATCGGTTGAGGACTCAAACTGTGTAACAGGGACAATGGAATCCTGTGTCATAGGCCTGCTCAGGGCAGTGAACGATGGAGCAATCCATTGTGCCCCAGGACATTGTCATAGGTCTCGGAAAGACAGGCCAAATGCTGCATCTCAGCAGAGGAAGTCACTGTAGCATACCTGAAGTGGGCATTGCCGCATTGGTAGACTTTGCAGGACGAGAATACTAGATAATTTTCTTAAAACAATGTATGCAAGTTTCAGTCAGCTTCTAAGACAGCGCCACTGCTGAGTAACGACTGACGGGAATTGCTGTAAGAGGTTAGGGGTTAAAAAAAAAACTGAGAATGCCCCTTTCCCACGTTTTGTTGGCAGTGGTGCAGAAAAAACTGCATTTACTTCTGTGATTTGGTTCTGTCTATGCATATATTGCGTTTTCACTACATTCAGTCATTAGATTTTCTGTATCCAAGCAAGTAGACTTAGAAGAGTATGTAGTCTTACTCAGATTCGAGTACGCTGCACAAACAGGAACATGGGAATCCTGTGCTACAGACAGCCGGAGGGTATCATGGACATTCACTCGGAACTGAGGGAGAGTGTTAGAATTCCGTAAGAGCGAGAATTTAACTAACATACATACCTGGAAGTTCTCAAAGGCAGTCTGAATGTTCTCACGGATCCGACGCCGTTGACCAGATCGCTTTCGTAGGTTAGTCAAGCGGACAAACCAATTGCTCTGTAATTCGGGCGAGACTGTCTCTGCAGCTTTAACTAGTTTACTAAAAAAAAACGACAAGCATCACGTCAGTTCCGTATCCTCATAATTATTGAATTGGTGGTACCAGTTGAGTTGGATAACAGCCTCTTCAAACTCCTTACGCAAGCCGGCCCCTGTCGAAATAGTATCCTCCAGTATCTTGCCACGATCGTCAATCCAGCTCATCAGCTTTTCGCTCTCCTCCTTATCGTCCCGAAGTTTCTGAATCAACGCATGAAGAAATCAATAATCGATTGGAGAATCAAGGCTAAGAATAATGAATCATACCCGATCCATATCGACAATATGCAGCAAGCCGCTAACGGCTGCTTTGGCAGGAGGACATGCGTCACCAACAGCAGAAAAGGCCTCTGCTCCTAGAAGGAGGACAGACGCTCCCGCTTCAAAAGCTTTCTTTGCCTTCACGAATTTCTTCCTCTTCACAGACGAACTCTCGGGTACTATGACCTGACTCCTTTCATCCGTTGTAGTACCGCGACCTGTTTCCTCCGAAGACCGAGCTCGGATGACTTCCTGTATATTCTCTCGTACAGGTCGTATGGCTACATGCATAGGAGTCTTGCGGGACCTCGCTAGAACACGCTGAATACATCCCTTGATGACGAGCACCTTGGGATTGGTTTGTTTCAAAGGAGGCCTAGACACTGAAGGACGGAGGCTACCAGTCGAGGGTGGCGAGGACGTTAACTTCTTGGACAAGCGACGGAACATTGCTTCAGTCGGCGAGTGCTGTAGGAGGTGAATCGCGACAAGACGATGGGTAGTATGACAGGGAGTAAACCCAGCAAGGAGAATGAGGACGCAAACATAGCAAGGCGATGCATACAGCCAGAATCGATTGAGAGCCCGAATCCGTGTAGTAGTACAGTTTAGTATACTTGCACACCATAGACCCGCTGAGTACGGTGTATCACGAAAAATGATCCATTAATATTGAGCGGCTGAGCCTCATGTCAGATGGACAGATCTTAAAAATACACCAAGCGCTAGTCGCTACTCAGCAGAGGAAATCGTGATGCCCCTATCAACAAGTGAATAAGTGGAAGACTTGGAAGACGTTTCTGAACCTCGGAGTACCGGCGAAGTCTCCAGAGAAACTAAGGAGTAGGAGGAGATTTTCTTTGGTCACGATATGATTTATTTCCGATGTGCACGTGCTCGAACTGGTACGACCTCTGACGTCGATCGCGTCTTTCAGTCAGTAATTGACGGTCGCGGAAATGCTGGCCTCCACTAGCTCTCGTCTTGTTCGTCAGGCAAATTTGTATAGGCTTTCAAGTCTACGCTTCTTATCGTCAACAAGCCGAGTCTGCAACCGTGCCATCATCTTCAGTGCGAATGGTCCTCCGACTGAAGTACTCCGCGTAGCATCCTTCCCAGACCTCCCACCACCTCAACCTAATTCACTCAACATCCGCTTCCTCCTATCTCCAATAAACCCTTCCGATATTAATGTCGTAGAAGGCGTATACCCCGCAAAACCAGAAGCACGAACAAACCTCTCTGAACAAGAACCAGGAAGTACGAAGGAGCCTTGCTTCGTTGTTGGTAATGAAGGAGTCGCGGAAGTCAGTCAAGTCGGGGACGGTGTCCAGAACCTCAAGGTTGGAGATAGAGTCGTCATGGTTAAACCTCAAGCGGGTACCTGGTCCACTGGTGCGACCGTCCGCGAACAGGATGTTGTTAAAGTGCCTAGTGTTGATGGCAAGGACGTTAGTGACGTGCAAGCAGCTACTATGAGTGTACGCAGCGGAGGTATATTGGACGTATAGGTTGGTTCAGTAATAAGATGTTTAGGTGAACCCGCCTACGGCGTATAATATGCTCAAGAACTTTGTCGATCTTCGAGAGGGTGATTGGGTTGTTCAGAATGGGGCTAACAGTGCTGTAAGTGCCTTTAGATGTTATTAACATCGTCCGATCTGCAAGATATAATAATTAATATACTGTATTATATGTTATTTAGGTTGGACAAGCAGTCATACAAATTGCTGCCTGTCGTGGACTCAAAACTCTCAACTTCATAAGAGACAGGTAAGTAGTAAATCTTAACGTATTACAGTCATCATGTCAATAACAGCCTTGTAGGCCCGACTTTTCTGCTCTAGCAAAACAACTACAAGACCTAGGCGCAACACACGTCCTTCCTCTCGAGACTTTAGCCGACAAAGCAACACGCTCCAAGACAAAACAGCTCACTGATAACGCGAATATCCGACTCGCATTGAACTGCGTTTCCGGTCCAACGACAGCAGCTCTTGTCGGCTTGTTAGGCCAGGATGCACATTTGGTTTCCTATGGCGCCATGTCGAAGCAACCACTTTCGCTTCCGACAAGTGCATTTATATTTAAAGGATTAACTGCGCACGGATTCATGCAGAATCGGTGGTATCGAGAGAATGGAATTGAGAAGAGGGAAGAGTTGATGCGTGAGTTGGCGAGTATGATGGTTGCTGGGAAGGTGTGTGATTTCTATTCTTTTGCGTAATTGACGCGTTCCTTATATGTATGATGTGCGCAGTTGCAAGAACCAGTTCATACTATTCTTGATATTCCGAGATCTATCAGCGACGAGGAGGCGTTGGCAAGAGTGAGGGATGTGATCGCAAAAGTGACGGATGGGAGCGGCAAGTTTGGTAAAAAGGTGCTACTGAAATTTGAGAGTTGAAATGCGTGGAGTACACAAGGCCTGTATGAAATAGACACAAGCAAACTTGATTAATATGACAATCCGCCCGTCCCTGTGCCATGTCGTCTTGAATACTTGGGGCCTTATGACGCACAACTGGATTATTACTACAAGACGATTTCATTAAACGTTGACATTACATGTCGCTGCAAGCATGAAAGTCGTCGTATATTATAAGGAATGATCCAATATTGAAACGATAGCGGGTGTCCCTGCACAAGTAATTATCGTGCCTTCCTATCATCAAAGAAGTTCTGAGAGAGAGAAAAATCAGTCAATATACGTGTCAACATTCTTTACAGTCAAAACTTGCCCTCAAATGTCTTAATTGCCACGCGCAAGTCGCGACGAGCACTCCAATCTGAAGTACACTATACCACACAGCGCGTGCATTTGTAGCCTCGCTCAAATCACGGTAACTCGCCTCACGTTCCCGCTGATACTGCTGTTCCCGTCGGATATCATCCAGCTTCCCGTTCAAGTCGCGGATCTTCTGCGCGAGGTTGGAGATGTGTGACCTGTCTTGCTCGATGTTGGGACGTGTAGAGCCAACGACGACGTCGATATAGAGTTTTATGTGCGTGTTGGCGGAGGTGGAGGATGAGGCGGAGAGGCAGATGGAGTGGTCGCCTGCTTCGTGTGCTGTGAATGTGAATTTGCCGTCTGAGGGACCGCGTGTGCGCGTTACTGAGTGTCCGGATTCGACTTCCTGTTGTGCGGACGTCGGATGTGTTAGTGAATATGAAAGTATGAGAGTAGAGAATTGGGAGATGGGAGGTGTACACACGTCGACTTCAACTTGCATCCCAAGGTCTGGGTTTTCGAGGTACTTCTGTTGTTGATCATTCCATTCTAGGGCCCTATAATGTCCTGCTTTCATAGTCAGTAGGTAGCACAAGTTTGTCTTGCGTGTAGCGTGACAGACCTTCTACAACGGTGTCGGTAGGCAGCTCTTCAATGAAGCATCTTCGCTCGGACGCGTCGAGGTAGAAATGAAGTGCGTTGGAAAGAGTCGCGAAGAGCAGAACGAGAAAGCAGGAGTATGCAACGGCGGAGACTTGCCGCGACATAGCTAGCCTCGCAAGCCAAACGACCTGAGGTGAAGTGGTTGTCGAGTACTGGCACAGTGAAGTAGTTGACCGTTGACGAGGATTGACCATGGCACATTGGCAATGCAACGGACACGTCCACGAAATCTGTGAGAATAAATTTCCATTTCAGATGAACCATTCATTTCATATCATACTGTCTAAGCCTCTAGGCGACTGTCTTTCAACTAATTAGTAAATTCGAAACAGTCTGTGCATATAGCATAGCTGCTACCACACTATCATGCCTGTGTCTGTGATATTTTCTCGCTATCATGCAGTTGATCTGTAAAGTAGTTGATTGCCAGCCAATGCTGTGCAGACCAGTTATCAGCTTATCATTAAATATTACGAAAAGCAACTGCTAAAAGAAGAAAGGCTGTTTGGGGAAGCTGTTCTATTAGTGTCTAAAAAAAAAGCTGAACACAGTTCAGCGTTAATAACGCAGACATCTTTGCATCAATCTTTTGTGTTTGACCATGCAATTCAGGCGTGTTCACTGCATTTGCTTATTAGGTTTGCTCCTGCATCCCAGCAGAGCACAGACTTACTAAGCGGGTTCTGTCCAAACTGCTCAGCATTAGTACGTGCCTGAGTGTCCCGCAGTATGGTGGATTGGAAGGCATGGTGAGAGGTTATTCGAAACTATGTGATGAAGGATGTAAGAATTAAACGGGGTAATAGAATGCTAAGGAGGATAGTTACCCTAAAGTCTTCCGAGGCAGTCGAAACGCTCTCACGAATGCGACCTCGTTGACCAGATCGTTTTCGCAGGTTAGTCAGGCGGATGAACCAATTGCACTGTGAGTCCAGACAAACAGCCTCGGCAGCCTCGACTAGTATGCTAGGCAGTAGGGGTAAGTCAAGTTAGTTCAGCACTTTCATGATCAAGGGTTATTGTTACCAGTTGAATTGGACAGCAGCTGCTTCGTGCTCCTTACGCAACCCAGCTCCCGTCAAGATAGTATCATTCAGGAACTTTCCCCGTTCTTCAATCCAGCTCAATAGCTTTTTAATCTCTTCCTCGTCGTTCTTCAAGTTCTAAATACACAGAACAAAATGGTTAGGTTTAGGTTACTAATAAAAGTGCAGGGATACCAGAGACGTACTCGATTGACATCAACAATGTGCAATGCGCCGTCAACAGCTGCCTTGGTGGGAGGACACGCATCGCCGACAGCGGAAAATAGTCGCGCCCCTAGAACCTAGAAGAAGGACATCCGCACCGACTTTAACCGCTTTCTTCGCCTTGTCGAACTTCTTCCGCTTCATGGATGTCTCTGCGGCGACTATGACACACTTCTCTTCATCGTTTAAAACGCTACAACCGGTCTCCCCAGCGTCCCGAGCTTCCTTGTCTACCGATGCATCCTGTGATGCGGATAGTGTGGTCGCAGGCACTAGAGCCTTGCGGGACTTCACTAGAATGCGTTTGATACATCCTTTGATGATGGCCACCTTTGGATTAGCCAGTCTCAAAGACGGAGCAGACTCCAATAGACGGCGGCTACCCATTGAGGACTGCAAGGGAATAGATCCCTTAGAAATACGGCGGAACATAGCTTTCGTCGGTGAGTGCTATTGGAGGAGAATCGTGGCAAGGTAGCGGGTAGTACGACAAGGGGTAAACCAAGCTGGGATAGACGGAGAGGGCATCCGTGCGCGAGCTTCCCCGGTGCACAGAGCCAAAAACACTCAAGGACCCGACTCCGTGTAGTAGGACAGTTGAAGCGAATATCATAACCCGTATTCAGAATGGTAGGATCGAAAGTGATCCATTGCGCGTCAATTGTTACGAGTATCAAAAGCAAGCCAAAGATACCTTTAGTAACAGGAAACTAAGAAGCCAAACAGGTCATGAACAAGCACAGAGGTTCAGCCGCACATGGTCCTGGGCGCCGCTTCACCGTGCACGATAGGCGACGACGAAGTTGTAACAGGTACATACGCTGAATAGGTAGACGAGGTGCACCTTTAAATTGTCTCGCGCGATCATGGTTGACTTCGTTTGCACTATCGCAGGCATAATGGAGAATGCGAATCGCCTAGATTTCTTTGCAGCAAGGTTGGAATCAGAAGTGATTTCGGATCGTCCCAGGTCGGTCTTCGTCCTATAACTGTATTCGCGTAAGGCAACGACTCATCACCGAGGGCTGTAAGCTGATTATCACAGCCTCGCTCAGAACTGTAACACGAGCAACAAAAGTACGGCATCGCGGCTCATGCCGTTTTCACAGTTCTTATTAATGAAGCCAAACGATTCTCTTCAGCAAAGGAAGCCACAGTACTTTACTCAGTAAGCAAGCGTTTTGGTAGACGTGGTAGACGTATCTGAGACTCAAGAACGTCGACGTACATAGTCCCCAATGTTATGCGTCTGAAAAAGTAGTGGAAAAGTTCCACGAGTCATGGATGTGACGTGTGTGAATTTCAGACAGCCCAAATTCGTGAGATGAGAAACATTTTCCGTCCATAACCGTCCGGCTATTGTACGCCTCACATTTACTCAAAATATATTTACAGTTACAGATTCATTCAATCAATTGCCACTCGACTGCATAGCACTGAGGCGGATACCTAATTCGGTTACAGTTCCATCAAAAAAAAAAGCCAAAATATGGTTCATAGATAATGGTCCAGATAACTTTGGAGAGATATCAATGGTTTCTTTTCGACCAGATAAGCTATGCATGCTTACTGTATTCGGTTATCAGCTTTGATTATGTAGTTGAGCCAAACGGAGCAGACTCACGCCTTGACTTTTGATCAGAGTACTCTGCATGGACAGAGACCTGAGAATCATGTACTATAGCTATTCGGAGGGCGTTAAGAGTGTTTACCCGAAACTTAGAGAAGGAGACTATTAGAATTCAGCAGAGATGATTAATGTAAATAATTACCTGGAAGTCCTCAAACGCGGTCTCAACATTCTCGCGGATCCAACGTCGTCGGTCAGATCGTTTTCGCAGATTAGTCAAGCGAATGAACCAGTTGCAATGTAAGTCAAGTGAAATGGCCTCAGCGGCGTCGACCAGTATGCTGGGTGGTGACCAAAACACGTTAGAGTAGTGTGCCAACAATCAAAGAATTGCGATTACCAGTCTAGTTGCATAGCGGCCTCTTTATATTCGTTACACAAGCCAGCCCCCCTCGAGATAGTATCACCCAGCATCTTGCCACGATCTTCGATCCAGATCTCCAGCTTTTTGCTTTCCTCTTTATCGACCTGAAGTTTCTAAATAAGGACGTAAGAGGTTGGCATTAGGTTGTTCAGAAAGGTTGCTCACAGAAAAGCACGGAATAATAAGACCAACCCGATCCATATCAATAATATGCAACACGCCACCCACAGCCGCCTTTGCAGGAGGAAATACATCACTCATAGTAGAAATTGCTTCCGCTCCCAGAACAAGCACAGCTGCTGCCATTTCAAAGAAATATTTTGTTTTGACGAATTTCTTGTGCGCCATTGGTATCCTTGTGGGTCTTGTGGTCTTCCCCTGGTCATCAATCATAGCATCACGATTGGCATCTCCTGAAGGCTGGCCACTTGCGTTCAGTGGAGGGTATATGGGCACAGATAGCGTAGCCATGGACATCGGAGCCCTGGAGAACTTCGTTCGAACGCGTTTGATACATCCCTTGATGAGCACCTGGAGATTTACTTGTCGCAAACACGGCGCTGACCCTGGTGTGCGGGGATTGCCCATCGATGAAGACGTGGGTATACGATTCTTAGAAGAACGGCGGATCATGGCTTTCTTTAACGAGTGCTGTTGGAGGACAGCGACAGTAAGGCAGCTAGTAGCACGACAAGGAGCATACACAGAGTGGGTAGCAAGCCAGCGTATGCATAAGGACAGAAACACGTGTTGTGGACTGATATAATTTGAACTAAGCGCAATGTACAGGTGTGTTCGCCTTTATCCATGCAATTGCAGCCATATCAGAATATGTTAATCGCCAGATCTAGTTTTGCTGTGTGCGAGTAGCAGGGCCATGAGTTTTCGTGCGAGGACCGTAGAGCTGTGTATGTAGCCATGCCCAGAGTGGGTGCACCACAATAGTGCAACATTACTGTCATTTTCATAAATATTGTCACACGCGCGATTTGTGATTTTCGTCACACTAAGTACACTCAAATACAAAATCTATCATAACTCAACTAATACTTAACCAAATTACATGATCTAAGTTGTAAAAAATATACTTTTAAAGTGTCTTTCATATTCCAGAAAAAATAAAGTAAAATGAGCAAAATTTGAGTAAGATACAACACAATATGTGCATTTTCCCTATATTTCATGTATATGAGTTTTCCTGGCCCTAAAACTGATTGTACAATACTATAAACTAGTCTAAATGAAGAATATAACTTTATTGTTAATTTACATATTGAATCCTAACTAGGATACAGAATACACATATAAGTATAATACATATTTAAGTTTGCTAAAATTGAGCATTTTCCCCCAACCTCTCTACACTCAGGGAAAGTTCTTCTGAGTATTATTTATGTTTGTAAATTTATTATAAACAAAATATATTAAATATAAGTACTTTTATAAGTTATAGTAAAGTTATATAAGTCAGAGAAGTACTATTAAAGTAGTATATAGAATAATGACTTTCTACTTCATTTGGACTAGAAATCCATACTAAGTCTATTAAAACTGTTTGAAACTAGTCTAATTTATTTAGAATGAATTTACAAACATAAATAATACTCAGAAGAACCTTCCCTGAGTGTAGAGAGGTTGGGGGAAAATGCTCAATTTTAGCAAACTTAAATAAGTATTATACTTATATGTATATTCTGTATCCTAGTTAGAATTCAATATGTAAATTAATAATAAAACTATATTCTTCATTTAGACTAGTTTATAGTATTGTACAATCAGTTTTAGGGCCAGGAAAACTCATATACATGAAATATAGGGAAAACTCACATATTGTGTTGTATCTTGCTCAATCTTTGCTCATTTTACTTCATTTCTTCTGGAATATGAAAGATACTTCAAAAGTATATTTTTTACAACTTAGATCATGTAATTTGGTTAAGTATTAGTTGAGTTATAGTAGATTTTGTATTTGAGTGTACTTAGTGTGACGAAAATCACGAATCGCGCGTGTGACAATATTTATGAAAACGACAGTAAGCCTTTTGCCAGTTTCGTCAGTCCCATCGGCGTGTCAAAGAGTTTTTCTCAGCAAAGGAAGCGATGGTACTACAGTTGATATGCAGGAGTTTTGGTAGGAATGCCTGAAATTTAGAGTACTAGTGCAGTCTTCAAAACGTGTACAAGGAAGGAAGTGAAAGACTCAAAGAGTAATGAACAAACTACTGTAACGTGATCCCTCTTTTCAAATTTTTTTAAGATATCCCTCTTTTCAATTTTTGCATTTGCACACCATCCATAGTACCTGACACCACCAAAAAATTCAAGAAAGTGCATTTGTACTATAGAAAACATATTATGTCTTTTTTTCTGAAAAAAAATCAATGAAGGAATTAAAAATTGGTAAATACCACTTTTTTCCAATGGTAGCATCAATTATAATTAGCTCTGTTAATTTTATTAGTGTACTTCTTGTTACAATTATACTATGTATTTCTTATGTATATACAAGAGTACTCCTAGTATAATTTCTAAGTAGTATACTGGTTGTTGTGAATTAAAATTGTAGAAAGATTGTTTGAGAGTGACAAAAACGTGACAATTGTGCTGAAGTGATACAGCAATGTAGTGCATTTGCAAGGCTTGCACGTATTGAATTATGTGTGACATTTTGTGACAAAAATTGAAAAGAGGGATCCCCACCCTTCCTACCTCAAAAAAAATCGTAAAAATTTTTTTGAAAAGAGAAGTACGTTTTTTATATAGTAATCTACGTATATACTGATTTTTAAGTTGAAATAATGTGTGGTTGTGTCTGTGTGAAAAAATTGAAAAGAGGGATCATGTTACAGTACTCTTCGATCCCTCTATACAATAATCGTGAGAATAAACTGCCATTCCCGATTCAGGCGCTATTCGAATTGGACTCTCAACGGTTCTACTACACAACAAACTTTCTTTTCGTTCTGCTAATCATGCCTGCAAACAGGTTTGAACCCTCGTCAATCAAAAATAAGCTGAAACGAGAAGAAGTTGCTCGCAAGGCAAAGAAAGGGAAACGACAGGAGAAGCTTCAGAGGAGGTTGGCAAGAGCAAAAGTTGAAGCTAACGACCCGTTGGCTAAGAAAGCAAGTTCCTTCATTGTCCCTTTCGAAAGGCATATAACATTTACTATTTCATTTAGAAACGGCTAGCAGAAAATGTCCCTAGGACTCTGGATAACACGAGAGAATTTGACCCTTCGATATTAACCGCTGCTCCGTCAAGCCAACCTGACCCTCCTCTTGAACAAACCGCATCGGATTCTGGCCAGCAACCTGCCGACGAGTCAGCTCTCGATATTTCCTCTGACCCCTTTGCGTCGTATTTTGCTTCGGCCTTCGACTCTGACCCGTCAGTCGCACCGAAAGTGCTCATCACCACTTCGTTCAAATCATCAAAATTAACTTACGATTTTTGCGACGAGCTTGTGAATGTCGTTCCTGGAGCTGAGTTCATAAGACGGAAGAAGGGAAAGGGATTTGAGATTGGGAATATTGCGGCATGGGCTGCTGGGAGGGGTTATTCTAATATGGTTGTGGTGAATGAGGATATGAAGAAGCCTAGTGAGTTCATCGTGCCGGGAGGTATCTGCTTGAGGTTTGACTTGCACGAACAGATGCTATCACACTTATACACCTTCCCGAAGGTCCTTCCTCCTATTTCAGACTATCGTCGATCCAGCTCACGAAGCAAATTAGTGTGAGTTAGTATTCCTGATAGTTTGAAAACTGTTCTGAATACAATTTCTACTGTAGGGCCATGCACGTTCGACGGATCATTTTCCTGAACTGGTCCTCAATAATTTTGTTACCCGACTAGGACATACAGTTGGTCGGATGTTTCAGACACTGTTTCCTCCTATGCCAGAATTTCAAGGGAGGCAAGTGGTGACATTGCACAATCAGAGGGATTTTCTATTCTTTCGGCGACATAGGTATGTTCCCCAGTCATCTATAATCTGGGTCGTCAGAAATTGAGCTGGCGAATGTTTTCTAGATATGCATTCCGGTCTACCGAAAAAGCAGCTTTGCAGGAAATCGGACCGAGATTTACGTTGAAGTTGAGGTGGATGAAGAAGGGAATACCGGCCGTGCAGGCATTAGGTCAACCTTTGAAGCCACTGGAACTCGCTCCTGACGAAGGTGGAGATACCGAGAAACTCAATGACGCTAGCGGGGCCGAAGTCGCCGTTCCTGACAATTCAGAGGAGACGGCTGCGCATGAAGACGAGGAAACAAGTGAAACTGAGTCGCATACTGAAGCGAAGAAGAAAATTGTGCCACCTACGAAGGACGAATACATCTGGATGTGGAAGGTGAGAGTTGAACTCATCCTGAAATATTCGTTTCCCTTGACAACGTTGCGATAATTTTGCAGCCTGAGCTCGAGACGTCAAGACGGACATTTTTCCTATAGGCATTTGCGTATCGTATTATCTGTGGACCTCGCAATTATATTTAAGTAAATTAGATAAAAACTTAGAAAATACACATTTGAATTTTTGCCGCGTATCGTTCCAGAAAGCGCGAGCACGTGTGACTAAGCAGCGGCCATTGTTACTCTTTCTGTCCAAACGGGCTTGCATATAACATGCATCTACAATTTTACCTTCACTTCTCTCTTACACATACCGTTTGGAAATCGCACGAATTATAGAAGTTTGCGCTATAACATAACCAATATGGCGACGAAACAAGAGTTCTTCCCCACGATCGGTAACGTCGTAGAGAAGACAGCGAGCGTACCGGACGCAACTGCACCTGCGAATGCTGATGCAACCGATGCTGATGAGGTTCTGGTCCAGGAGATTGAATCTCTTTGCATGAATTGTCGTCAGAATGTATGTGAATGCCCTTTTGACCAATAGTTCCAAGCGCATATATTGATCGAATCTTTCTTCTTCTTCTTTTCGTCTCGTATGTAGGGCACAACACGACTGCTGTTAACTTCGATTCCGTATTTCCGGGAGGTCATAGTGATGTCTTTCCGATGCGAACATTGCGGGTGGCAGAATAATGAGGTACAATCGGCTGGAATCATTAAAGGTAAGCACTTTCATTTCGATTGGAATATCATCCAGAGATACTGAGTCATTATACTTCAGAACACGGAACAGCGTATACAGTTCGCATTCTCGACCGAAAGGACCTCGATCGACAATTGGTCAAATCTCCAACATGCACCGTCATTATTCCGGAATATGAGCTTACGATCCCACCAGGCAAGGGCCAGCTAACGACTGTTGAGGGAATCCTGCGTGATACAGTCACGGGTCTCTCTGTGGACCAGCCGCTCAGGCGAATACAGGCTGAGGAGGCGTATAATAAGATAGAAGGAATACTGAATGCGTTTAGAGCGATTCTTGGAGATGAGGAAGATGACGAGGTCGAAAGTAAAGATGAGACGAAGGATGCGGTCAAGGTGTCTAAGAAACTACCGATGGAACCGTTCACGTTAAAGCTTGACGACCCGGCTGGAAACTCGTTCATTGAGTTTGTCGGTTCTATGGCTGATCCTAAATGGAACTTGCGAACGTATAGTCGTACGCGTCAGCAGAACATTGATCTTGGGCTCATCGCTTCAGACGAACCGACCAATGCAGCAGTGTCCGGAGATGGTGCACCTCAGGCAATGAAAGTGGCGAACAAGGAACAGGCGGAGGAAGCTCTTGGTGGTGGACTGGAAGGTCAAAATGAGGAGATCTTCACTTTCCCGGGCACTTGTTCGAGTTGTGGTGCGAAATTGGATACTTTGATGAAGAAAGTGAACATTCCGTATTTCAAGGTGCGTTGCCTATTGATGCATTTTCACTGCTGCTTTATTCACACTTTGTGGTAGGACATCTTGATTATGTCTACAAACTGCGACCACTGCGGCTACCGAGACAACGAAGTGAAATCGGGTTCTGCAATTTCGGATAAAGGAAAGCGGATAACTTTGAAAGTGGAAGACCAAGAAGATCTCAGTCGCGACATTCTAAAGGTATGTTTACTTTCGCTATTCTGTGTTACGACTTCTTTGACGATAATCCGTGCAGAGCGAATCATGTGGTTTAAAAATCCCTGAAATAGACCTCGTCTTACAAGCTGGTACCCTTGGTGGACGTTTTACGACTCTCGAAGGTCTCTTAGACCAAGTATACGAGGAACTGTCGGAGAAAGTATTTGCATCGGGCGATTCAGTAGTCACTGATGATAGGAAAACGTTCGAGAAGTTCCTCGCGGATTTGAAATCTGTGCGTTAATTCATTCATTTTCTGTATTCTGAGGTTCACTGAAAATATATATTGGGTGAAGATCAAAGCCGCTGAACGACCGTTTACTGTCATCCTAGAGGATCCGTTGGCGAATTCATACGTGCAGAATTTGTACGCGCCCGATCCGGATCCGAATATGACGATAGAGATGTTTGATAGGACGTGGGAGCAGAATGAAGATCTTGGATTGAATGATATGAAAGTGGAGGGGTATGAAGCTGACGCGAAGGTGGATGGAGAGAAAGTGAAGAAGGGATAGGACTGAGGCGGCTCATAGAGTTTCTGTATTAGTTTACGTAATCGATCTGTACATCATGTAGTCATATTGTGTGATATTGAGTGGAGGTCGCCACAATTGCATTCTTGACTCACTTGGCACTTGACCAATACCTTTCGCAACAACGAAACGTTCGTGCTTGAGCTTGTAGATTGAAAAAATACTGTGACGACAATGTCGGAAACTGGCACTCGATGGATTCCGTTGGAAAGCAACCCTGATGTGCGCATATAGACACCTTTTGAGCATCTGTGCTCTGTGGGCTAATCCTCCGTCGTCGTTAGGTTTTGAACAGCGTACGCCGCAAAATCTTGACCAGTCTTGTAATTTTGGGCCAATATTGAGTCCTTACTTGTAGTGGTCCCGTAAAGTCGGCCTTGTCCTCTCGCAAGATGAATTCACGGATGTGTATTCGGTTGTCGAAGAGGAGGTGCGTCATATATTCTGTGTGGGTTCTCAGCACGCTTATTAGCATTCTTGCTGCCTCAAGCTTTTGGCGATGGTACCACAACCTGTGAAGGCGGTGGTTCTGCTCTTCCCGATCACGGAAGCCTTTGAAACGAAAAGGAAGGAGGAAGATGCGGCGTTGGAAGCGGGAAAGCTGCCACCTGTTGATTCTACTGTGATTTGGATTAAGCAGACGGTACGTCTATGTTATTGATACATGACGTGGTTGTTTCTAAACTCAGTGGACGAGTAGATCTCGAATGCCTGTGGAACTCTGGGTCTTCTCCATGCACTAATGAACGTGAGTATGTTTGAGTGGCTGAACCCGCGACGATTCTGACAGATGGCTATGAAAGTCTCGTGTAACTATAGCACCCGAGAGCACGTTGGCCAAGTTCATTGATCAATGCAAAGGTGACGTACAAGGCGTTTCGATATCAATTTCGGTTTAATATAGCTTAACTGTTATTGAACGTAACAGAGAAAACTCCAGAGGAAAGAGCCAAATTGCTCGAGACCACACCTCTATTTGCAGATGCCCACCGTACAGAAGCAAGCTCGGGACAGAGCGCCGTGCCGAGGAATCTGGACACAGATTATCACTTTACCACTTTCGTCCTTGCGCCGAGCGAGGGGGAGCCAGGAAAGACGAAAGGTATGGAAGGACACCGTCTTGTGGAGCTTGATGGTCGGCGTGCTGGGCCGGTTGACAGGGGACCCAGCGAAGATCTTCTCAAGGTCAGTTTATCCATTCAGTTCCACTAATGGTGATGGGCACGCTTGTCGACGAGGTACTAACGCCATTGAATTCCTATAGGATGTCGCTGCGTTTGTGCGGGAGAAGTTCCTCGCGCAGTCGGACAGTGTGAATTTGAATGTTATGGCGTTGGCGCCTCCGCAGGAGAAGTGAAAGAAAGGATTATGGTTATGACATATGTAGGTTTGCATGTGTACTGTAAAATTAATAGGATTGGTGGTGCTGTAACATGCCGTATGTTTTCGGGGGGGTGTGATGAATTGCACGTGCCATGACGCAAAAGGAGAAAGAAAATCACGATGAACCGGAGTCTAGAGATGGGTTGTCTATGGACCCCTGAAAATCGAATTATTTGGTGCTTGCTCGGCTCACTCCAGTAGTTATCATCGCCACCCTCTTTCTTCTGACTCTCATCACGACCATCTCTCCTTCATAGAGTAACGACTTCTGCTGCTGCTGTCCATTCCATGCCCTCCCAGGCTTCAAAGGAGTCGTCAGCTGGCCTGGAGCTGTCCCCCCTCTCTTCAAAATCCGACTCTCCCATCAAGCATCATAGCGAAAAGGCTCAGGACCACTCCGCTGCAACTCTCCACGACGGCAGCCATCATGACCACGGCTCCCACAAGTCTCCCTCTAACGACTCCCCTTCCGATACCGCTACCAACTCCTCTGATGAGTTTGACTGGGAAGCTGAAGATGACGCTGAGAACGAGAAGGATCTAGAAAAGAAGCGCAAGACCAGGCGTGGAAGGAAGATCTATGGTTTATTCATGAAGCTTGCCAGGCCGATTCGTACTGCTATCGTTGCTATTATTGGAGCGGGTATTTTCATCACGCCCCTCCTTGTCGTGCAGTTCCGGTTCCGGGACAGCATTGTTAGGCCGCATGTCCATATGTGGTCCCTTTGGCTGTCTATCACCTGGGCTGCTAGCTCAGTGACTTATCTGGTCGTTGATCTCATTCCGAGGTTTATCATTTTCGTCGTTATGCTCTTCCATGGTCAAGTGGAAAACCTCAAAACACAGATAGAGGTATTGCATTGTTCAGTTCGTTACTATTCCACTGCAATTCTGATCAATCGCTCGCAAAAATAGCTGGTCTATGCGGTGTCCGGATGGTTAAAGCTAGCTTTGGATGTAGCATGGTCTTGGATCGCCTTATCTGTCCTGCGAGCTGCAATGCATCCTCCTGGGTCGTATTGGGTCACTATCAATCGGGTCATGCAGGTATTACACTTGGCGAGTCGCACTGTATGCCTCGATTAATCCACCTTTTCCCTAGGCGTTGTTTGCGGCGAGCATAATATTGCTTGTAGAGAAGCTCTTCCTTCGTTTCGTTGCCATCCGTTTCCACCAGAAGGCTCTTGCAGATCGTCTAGCCGAGAACAAACTTGGTTTAAAGGCACTAGATCGTTTATCTAACGCCACACCTGCTGCTGCTGCAACGTTAAGGTTACCGTATATCACGGGCAAGAAAAAGGGTCATAAAGGCAGTAATCAAAATTCTCGAAGTGCTTCGATGGATATGCTTGACAAGGAAATGGGTTTGGAAGGTGGCGTCACTACGGAAGGAGGTGCTGCTGATCCGGCTGATCATGGGAAACCTGCGAAAATGAGTAGGAAGAGGAGGCGCAAAGCTATTGGTGCTATGATTGTTGATCAGCTTGGTGATGCTATTGGTCAAGTTACGCTGAAGGATAGCAAATTCAATAAGGGTGGCGAACTTACTGGTCTACATTCCGCGAGAAGACTTGCTCGTCAGCTCTTTTCGACACTTAGCGACGTTCATCCTCCGAGAAACTATCTGATTGTTGAGGGTCGGTGATTTCTCGGATTTATTTGTTGGAGCTTTGATTTACTCTAAAACTTCCAGATTTCTACCCGTACTTCCGTACCACGGCTGAAGCGGTAAGTGAGATCATTATCATTATGTTTCCAGTTGCTAAGTTACATGATTAGGCAGCAGCTTTCGCTATTTTCGACAAGGATGGCAATGGTGATATCACCAAGAAAGAGATGCGCGAGGCTGTTCAACGAATATACAGAGAACGGAAGGCACTCGTATCTAGTCTCAAGGTCGGAGCCCCTTAAGTACCGCTTATGCTACATAGCTCACTCTTGCTTTAGGATGTTGGAAGCGCTGTCGCAAAACTTGACGCAGTACTTGTTTGCATTGCCTTGATGATAATTGTATTCGTCTGCCTATTAGTATTTAATCCGACCAATACCATTTCTTCTCTCGTGCCGCTGGCGACGATCGTTCTCGGCTTTTCGTTCGTTTTTGGAAACTCAGCTCAGACGTTGTTTGAATCAGTATGTATCCGTCTAAATTCTTACTTGCTTCTTCTGACGAAGGTTGTTTCAGCTTATTTTCATATTCTCGACTCACGTATTTGACGTTGGTGACTTGGTGCTGATTGATGATAACGTACGGCACTCACGATTCTCTTTTTACATATTTGCTCATATATTTTGGTTTGAAGCCCCTCTTCGTTCGCGAGTTCGGTCTGTTTTCAACGACTTTCCGTCGTGTTGATGGTCAGGAAATTATCGCTCCCAACTCGCTCTTGGCAAAGGAAAAATTGGTGCATAACTTGAGACGTAGCAATTCGATGTGCGTCTTCTACCTTCATACAAAAAAGTTCCGACGACTAACGATCGGCTGACCAGGTGGGAGAGCACGAATATCCAAATTGGGTATGATACGCCGCTAGAAGTGGTTGAGACGTTGCAGCAAAAATTGAAAGCTTACGTTGCACAAAATAACCGAGAATGGTCGAATGTCGCTGTGAATATTGATAAGATGGAGTACCAGAATGCGTTAACGCTGATCATTGCGATGGAACGTGAGTCTTCATTCACACTCACCTATATTCACCTCTTTTTCGTCTTTTCGTTAAGATTTGATCTCTAGATCGACCAAATTGGCAAGACTGGGGAGGCCGTTGGGCAAGACGTAATCTGTTCATGCGACACCTAAAGACAATTCTCGAAGAACTCGACATCAACTACACCTTACCTATTCAACCGGTTCTTTTACCAAGAGAAAATCCGTATGATGGGAATTCGCTTCGCGTTCCGTCGAGGTTCACTCAGTCGAGAGAGTCGTTTGGGAATGCTGGGTATCATCAGGATGATATTTATAGAGCTCCTCCTGGCGGTGGGTTGGGGCCGTCGCTTAGAGTGCCTGGTGACCAGTATTGAGGAATTAGATTCTGAGATGTGTGAAGGAGGAGCTCGGCATTCATTTAATTTCATTAACATATTTAAATGTATTGCGATTATCGCAATTAGACCCATGCCAATCCTGTAGTTCTCGTGTTGCTGGACTTCACTCACGTCTACTTATATATTACAAGCAAGCAAAACACCTTCACACTTTTTTAGTGCGCGTGATAATAAATTTGCATGAGACGCGTTAGGTCACGCGTTCCGTCACGTGTTTCGTTCCTCTAATCTAATAAAAGCGCGCGAATGTGGTGGCACTTGCTCCATATCTCCAACTCACGATTCACTCTGTAAATAACTTAAGGCTATGGCTATGTCTGGGCGTGGTATCTAGCCAGCTCAGGACGACTTGTATATATTCCTTCTTCCTTGGTTAAATTTTCTGCTTCTTTGTCGATATTGGTTATTGGTTATTATTGGTTATTTATGAGCTTCTTAAATATGGAAGATTGTGATGATGGTATGGATAGGGTAACGCCTATCCTGTATTCGTTGTGAGTCTTCTTCGATTCTATCCGTCTTCCGATCCACCGAACTTTAAAGACTGATTTACTTTCTTTCTTTGATGTTAGTTTGGTTTCACTGTGCAAGGAGCTATCGAAGATCGAACCTCGCTCTACGAGCTCCACCGCCAATTCTTCATGTCGTACAAATACAAACTCGGAGCCAGCTTCTGTCAAGGTATTCAGAAGATGGGTACAAGAGCTACGAAAGCGGTTCCCCCGCCCTCCACCTGATACGACTAAGATGATTTTTTTGATGTTATTTCCGGAGGAGGATGTGAGGAGGAAGTATGGGATGCAGGAGGTTATGTTGGCGAGGGTGCTTGATGGTGTTTTGAGCGTTAATGGAAGCTTGAAACGTTGGGCGTCTTCTTGTGATACTTGTACGTCTTCTCTTGGGGAAGAGGTTTGCAGGGTTATGTCGTGTTCTGCTACCGTAAGTAATTTTATCTGATCCTTTTGGAGTGCAATAATCGTTCGTGCCTTAATTTATTCTATAGGAAGACGATGGTAATTATAACACTGTCACTATTCAAGAGGTGAACTCAATGCTAGACGAGTTGGCAGCAAAGTCAAGATTCTCTGCGTGCGAACTTCGAGATCCGGCTGCCAAATCCGATCGTTCTCGCCAGACAATCCTGCAAAGCGTATTTCGCAAGCTACGACCATTTGAAGCTGCCGTCCTGACCCAGATAATCCTCAAAGATCTCAGACCTGTGATTTATCCCGTTAAGAGTACATCTTCTACTGCTGAGGCGCTTTTGGAGTTCAATTCGAAGGCAGTACACGTGTTAACGATGCATGAGACTATGCGTGTTTGGGATCCTTCGAGGTTGCTGTTACGATGTTACAAGGTACAGGCGACGATTGAGGATTCGGTTCGGTTGTTTGAGAGTGGGGATTTGGAGATGGTTGGGCCTAGGATTGGTGTGCCAGTTCAGGTGCATTTTCTTTTTGTCGGGTAAATTATGGAATGGGTACTGATTATCTTGTAGATTCCTAAATGCGTCAAAGGTCAGGGTTGCAAGCATGCTCTAGCCCAGTTTAAGACACCGGAGTCAGTCTGGGCAGAGACGAAATATGATGGCGAAAGGTGAGGAGGAATTATGACATCCGCAGCTGAAAAGCTTTTAATATTCAATGCTTCCACAATAGAATGCAAATTCATATCGCAGTAGATAAGACGGGGGGCACCGAAATCACCATTTTCAGCAAGAGTAAACGGGATTCGACGTTGGATCGTATTGCGACACACTGGCATGACCTTTTTCTCATTTTGTTCAGTTGTGTGTTGTTAATTTATCCTTGATAAAAAAAAATAGGATTATTAGAGAAGCCCTGGGTTTGCGGCATTCAAATCTGGATGAGATTGTTGAACGAGCTGCGCCACAGAAGCGGCGTTCAGTGAATGTTTCGTCAGTGATCCTTGAAGCTGAGATGGTAGCGTTTGATGATAAAGTCGGTTTCGACGGTGCGTATGTTTAGATTCTTTAGAACACGACGGCTGATTAGTACGCAGAGTTCTGGAGAATCAGGGAACTTGTGGAGTCAACGGCTGTAGGAGCTCGAAGGAAGACGGGTCAAGTCGAGTCAAGGTAAATTAGTTGTATTTTGATGATCCATGCTTCGTTGAATCAATAATTTCGACAACAGGTTTAGTGACTCTTCCGACGACGCATGCAGACACCTCGCCCTTGTATTCTTTGATATTTTGTATCTCAATGGTCGTTCGCTGCTCTCGGAATCTTATTACTCTCGTAGAGCAACACTTGAATCAGTCATTAGACCCATACCGAAGTATGCTTTTCTTGCGCATCGGACTGAGATCCCCCTATCTGGTCCGCAGCTATGCGGCCAAGGTTTGGAAACGTTGGAACGTATTTTCTCCGAGTGCATAGCAAACTACGAAGAGGGCCTCGTTCTGAAGGCGTCACACGCAACGTATAATGACTATGGATGCCCATGGGTCAAAGTAAGGAGGCTTGTTCGATGTCGTCTGTGCTTGTGTCCTTACCTGCATCTAGCTGAAGAAAGACTATATTCCTGGTTATGGAGATGCGGTAGACCTTGTCCTCGTTGGGGCTTCTTGGGAGAAGGAAAGAGGAAGGACACTGCGAGGTATGTCATCATTAGTTTGTTTGTTCGTCGCGCAAAGGTGAACGCCCCCGCTCACCCAACTGATCCACAGTGCCACCTTCGACATTTACGACGTTCTATGTCGCAGTGCTTCGCGACTCTAATCAGGTTAGCCTTAACAAGCAAAAGTGGTTCTCAAAATGAGCTGCAAGTTAACAATTTGACAGAATGGCCGCCCTCCGCACCTTGAGGTCCTCTTCATGGTTTCGTACGGCCTTGATCGCAGGCAGCTCGAGCAGTTGAATTTTCTGATTAGTTCTATGAGTCCATTGAATTATACGGAAGAGCAGCGGGTAAGTAGGCGCATGACGGACCAGCGTGGCCTGACTAACTACCGTCTTGTTCATAGTGGAGCGAACTGCCTTTCAGTTTTAGCCTGGCGAAAGGTCTTGCAAAGCCCAAGGTCATCCTGACAAGTCCTCTGCTCGTCGAGTTGTTTGGAGCTGGGTTTACCAAGTCTTGTGAAGGCAATGTACGTGTCCCCTTTTATTTTGTGGTGATGTCCTTCTGAAGAGTGCGATAGTCTTATGAATTGCGATTCCCCCGGATAAGCAAAGTCTACAGAGCTAAAGACCGGAACTGGCAAGAAGGTATGGTTAACGATCCATTGTATTTATGTTGTCTTACATGCAAACAGGTCTGAAGATGAGACAGTATATGGAGATCGCTCACGAGGCTGTTGGAAAGGACCAACGTACACCGGGACAACGCGCAACTGGCAACGAGTCGCGGATTTTGAGTCCTTGCCGAGATGTCTATCCTATGCGGAAACGGAAGACAACAGACGATTATCAATCACCAACCGCGAAGGAAATCAATTCCGGCGTGGTACCGCATGTCCATGTACGACGGTTAGGTCGGAAGCGACAGAAGACGAACGAAAACCGCCCTTCCGCTATGAGTGGTGCGGGTTACTCTACCGGAAAGCTACTGAGTCTGCTGGTAGGCAACAAGGTGGTTTGCGAGATGCCAAAGGAACCGTTGAAGATTCTCACGAATCGCAGGACGGAGATCGTTCCTTCTGGCACGGCAGTGGCTGAGCTTGCAAGTGTAACACACTCTGGCCTTAGTGGTACGTCTAGTGTTACAGGAGTCTTGATTTGCAGTAATAAATTGACGATTGTAGATGATATCCGGAAACTTGATTTGCATCCACTCGCAATATTCCTTGGGAAAGCTGTTATCCTCACGGATTGCGATTTTACCTCGCCAACGCATGATAGGGATTTTATCGAGAGATTTGTGGTGCCCAACCTCATTCATTCGTGGGAAGCCCTTGCCATCGGATGTGGTTGGGTGGGTCGGCCCGGCAAACTAGCAGCAATAGACGACAACATAAACTATGGCGTTGTATTTGCGGATGAGAAATCCGTGAAGGCTTTGGGAAGAGTCCTTCTGGGTAGTGCTGGGATTGGCATACTTGGTACAGATCGCAAGCCCGTCTTTGTATTTGACACGGACTGTCTTCGGGTGGATAGGTTGGATGCAAGCCGCTCACATGGCGAAGCAGATATTAAAGCGAAATGCTTGGCTGTATACTTGTAGTCTCGATGTTATCTTTATACCTATAAAGTTGGTTATTTTCAAGATGTGCTGCGGAATGCCGACTGTAACTCGCGTGAGAGACGCGGTAACGTGCAGGCGCGTCCGCGGTCCGTCGCTGTAACAGCATTTATTCTGCTACTTAACTCTCGCAACCATGTTCTGATTGACACGTCACCATCTTCAGACATTCATTCTTTGAAAAAGCCTCGTCGAACGAAGAAAGTCGCCACTACCACTCTCTTACTATTAGACGAACAATGGGGAGTGTAAACGTGGCAGATGCCACGTCTCAATCGCTACTCCTTGGTACAGTCCTCGCACTTGTGGTCCTTCTTTGCTGCGTGCGCATTTATATATTATTATCTATTACGGTAATGCTAATTGAAGGGTGCACAGGCATATACCATCATTTACTTATTGTCCCCTCCACCTATCAGAGAAAGTGCCTCCGAGAAAAAATATCGCTCTGTAAAGTTCCGCACGGACCCCCAGGATTTGCCGCATATCACAGAGCCTGTACCTGCGAGTGTAGACCTCAGCATTGTGATCCCTGCTTATAATGAAGTACCGAGGCTACCTTCGATGCTCGAGACCACAATTAAGCATCTAACCAGTGCTGAATACGTTGGACGGAATGTCGAGATTTTGATTGTCGACGACGGGTCCTCGGACGGTACAGCTGAAAGAGCATTAAGTCTGGCTGAAGAGTATAGCACGATGGATATTCGGGTCGTTTCGTTGGAGAGGAACCTTGGGAAGGGAGGTGCTGTGAGGCACGGGATGTTACATACTCGGGGACGGAGGCTGTTGATGGTTGATGCGGATGGGGCGAGTCGGTTTGAGGATTTGGAGATGTTGTGGAGGGAGATGGATAAGATCGTCGATCATGGTGGGGAGGATATACCTGCTGTTGTTGTTGGGAGCCGGGCGCATCTTGTGAATACGGAGGCGGTGGTCAAGGTCTGTATATCTTTCTGGTTTAATTAAGTTAGACGATTAATCTCCCTCTTGTATTTTATATTAAAAGCGTTCGGTTCTTCGGAATCTGGCTATGCGAGCTTTACATCTTACTCTACGACTTGTTGGCGTCGGACACGTCCGTGACACACAATGCGGATTCAAGCTATTCACTCGCGAGGCCGCACGGCTCATATTCCCCTACCAGCATCTTAGAGGATGGATATTCGACGTGGAGATCCTACTATTGGCGAAGATGCAGCGGATCCCTGTAGCTGAGGTACCGATTACTTGGACGGAGGTGCCGGAGAGCAAGTTAAGGTTGGTGACGGATTCGATTAGGATGTTTACAGATCTTTTGGTGTTGAGGGTGAATCACTTGACGGGGAGGTGGGTTGTCCCGACGACGAGGAAAGTGAAAAGCGAATAGTACATTATATATGCTTTTTTGTGTATTCTCGCAGTGTATGCATGCCCCGTTCATTGCTGTGTATGGACTTGACATTTCTCTCTTTTGCTTCTTGAATTATTAATAATACATTAGAGCATTCCGATATTCATTGTAAGGAATCGGCGTAGTGCTTTAAAGCACATTCGCGTAAGCGGCTAGCACCTTGCTCGGGTGTTAAGTCTCTTTGTGCTTCAGCCATGAGCTCGAATCTAGGAAACAATGAAAGTATAACATCAATAACAGAGGCAAAAACATTAAAAAAGTTACAAGGACGAACCCTACGAGGAACTTGCGCACAGATGCGCTACGCAAAAGCGGAGGAAAGAAATGCAGGTGTAAGTGAGCGATACTATATTCTTCTAGACATTCGTTCTTTGCAATGGCCGCTGCCTTAGAGAGAGGGGCCTGGTGGATACCCATCGAGTAAGGGAACGAGCAGGTGAAGAGGTTGTCGTAGCGAAGTGTGATTTCGGAGAGGATCCGGGCGAATGAGGCGAGTTCGGTTGGTGTGAGATCTGGGAGGGAGTGGATGTGTCTGCGGTAGGGAAGCACTAGCGCATATAGTCAGTGAGGAACTGGGGAATATTAGAGTGTGGTCAATATTTATACTTACTGAGGACTTCGAAGGGCCAGGTCGCCCACCAAGGTACCAGAGCGACCCAGTCTTCGTTCTTGGAGACTATACGTTCGCCATTGGAGTCGTTCACTTCGAGGTGAGCGTACTCGCAGAGGAGACAAGGGCGGTTCTCTGGACCTCTCGGAGCTTGGCTGGATTCTTGAGGCTTCTGTGCGTATCGAAGTAGGGAAGCAAATTCTTTGGCGGGAATGGTTGGTATATCGGACATGGACCAGACTTGGTTATGTGGATGGGGATTTGAGCAGCCCATCATTGCTCCTTTGTTCTGTGATAAATTGCTAGTTTAGTGAAATGTGTTCGATAACAATAGGGATGGGTTGAGTATGTGTACCTCAAAGATTTGGACATAACGAATTCCTTCTTCTTTACTTCTTTCCTCGTAGATCCGGATCCATTCACGAATCACGATGGATATATCATCTAGACTTAGTCTCGCGAGGGTAAGATCGTGTCTAGGATGGAACACGATGACGTCGCATTCCCCATGTACGCTATTATATGCCAGTAAGGGGTGAGCAGGTTCGGGTGGGGGAGGGACAGGTGCAGGTGCGAGTGCAGCGTAGTCGTTATTGAATGTGTAAGTTGAGGTGTATGCGTCGTTCTGGTGACCTCCAGCACGTTTATTGCCTGGACAGAGATAGCATGATGGATCGTATTGAGGGAGAGACGAGGGCTGGGGAGGCTCGATTTGGCCTAGCCAGGGACGACGGGCACGGTGAGGAGAGACGAGGATATACTCGTCTGTTAATGGGTTGTCTGTATAATTGGTGCGATGTGTTAGTAGGTGACTACTACTAGTCCGGAAATGTAGGGAATATGCGTACATCTACGATGGGTATGCTGCGTCGGGTCGAATTCGTCCATTTGCAGAATAAACACAAGGATGGGCGTAGTTGCGATTACATCTGATATATCTGTGGTTTTTGTCGTCGTAATGATTTACTCGCCGAGTGTGCATCGCTGAGCTGCGGCCCGCGCCGCCTGTCGTCGGCCCGACGCACGGAACAACCCGATTTAACTCCTAGTACTACACCTCACATCATGCAGTCTCTTACAATATCTGGGTTACTAGTGCTGGTCTTTCCGGGATATCTCTCTTCTTTCACCCTTGACTGTCAAGACTCCGTCGCTCAGTATCAAGCCATAGGTGCAGATATCAGCACCTGCCAATACTAGCCTGCTTCTGACTATCATTGAAGATTGGAGTGCATCCTTGTTTGTATGCTTCCAAGTCATCAGCACATGCAGTGATCAGTGTATCCTCATGTGTCTGCGAAGAGCAGGCACCAGTACTATGTACTTTCTTGATGACTCCTTGATCATTGTAACAAGAACACTTTCTTATGCACATACACTATGCACAATATGAGGCTGGGTTGATTTTGTCAAGGCTATGCCTCCTTCAACACATAGCTGTATGCCTCATTTTCTGAAAAAGGTGTCTCTTGGCCTTACTATCTCCCTAGGAATCTTTCACATGAACCAGGATAACTTTCCTTGGACGCTGTGCCTTCAACACTCCTGCAGCTATCAATGACAGTGATGGCCATCATTCTATAAATCTGCGTTCTATCCGGAAATGAACACTGCCTTGTCATCTGAATACAGCCATTTTTATATTGTTGAATAACAAATATACGTCTGCAGAATTTAATGCGACGCTCTCGTTTCGTCGTATTAAATCTGTCCCTCAGCACTACTTCTCAGACCTGTGCATTATGTACGCCTCAGTAGTGAGCCGACATTTACTGTGTGCACGATCTATACATTCTGCTTATACTATGACATTCTGTGTCCTCGTTAATTGTGTACAACGCAGTGCCCAAATTTACACATACACACAGCTGAAACTGTGCTCAGCGACTTTGAGCTCTCGATTTCTTCTTAAATATTGTAACTTTGGTTGTTTTCTAGACGGATCCAGTCGACATGCAATGAATCCATTTCGATGCCGCTGCACTGAGCAAGAGTATGACATACAGTCCTGCAGACCTACTAGTATTACAGGAATTTGTTGCTTCACTCATTTTGTTCTGGCAGTACACATTATCCTTAAAGAATCCACCATACTGACGACATGTCTCAAGGCAGTGAATCAATGCTAATTCTCGGCATTATGTCCACTGTGTCGAAGCTGTGCATCAAACTTCCAGTGTGAGAACTTGACCTATCTTCACTTTCCCAGGAGCATATATATATTGTAGCTTAGCCTTTCTTGCTGTCCAGCACCCCTCCTCTCTCTACTGTGCTATCCTATTGCTTTCAAACTTGCTATTGCAGTGCAGAATGCCTATCGACTGATGACACACATTCTGCACTGTCCCTCCTAACAAATCGAATTCCTCTGGGTTGCTCAAAATGCCTCCCAAATCTGGAATAATACTAAAGGCTAGTGCTCCGCACCGTAGCATAATTTACAGATACGCCTGCAGTGTATACGCTTACACACTGTATTGTAAGAGAAAATTTTAGCTGAAAATACGGGCGTATATTTATGCACGTATGCGTATACCATAAGTAAAAAATTTCCGTATACGCCGTATACGAGTATACAGTATTACTAAGCATATTCTCTAATTAAATACTAAGTTTGAGTTTCTAAACCTCATTTACTTTACTTATTTATATACCAAATCATTTTAATACTATATAACAACCTTGTTTAACTTAAAAAGTACTAGTATGAGTACTACAGTTAGTATGGTTACTACGGTACATCACATGAAGGTTTAGAGCTGTCACATGATATTAACTCACAACACTCAACTGTCTTATTTCTATGTGTAAACAGCACTACAATACATTTTCTTAGCTCAGTAATATCAAGCATTTGTTTTGAAAGATGATAGTGTACTTTTATGAGCTATTTTAATGTAAAGTATCTTGTTATATTTGGCACAGCGTATACGCCGTATACGCTGTATACGGAAGTAGCGTATCGTATATGGGTCCTGCTGACCCAGTTTACACCCGTAATTATATGCGCGTATGCGTATACGTGGGAAATTTTATGCGCGTAAGCGTATACGCTACGCGCGGAGCACTACTAAAGGCAAAGGGCGGCAAGTCTCGTGCCATCAAGAGGTTTGCCAAATGACTATCCTTGAAGAAGTCCTTGCACACAACTCCGATTGCTACACCTACCACCCAGATCGGCCATGTGCAAGATAGTTCAGTTGTATATTCTCCAGCAAGGTCCTCTGTACACTGCGATGTGGGAGCAGCAACAGTCAACACGAACACGAACACCACCGAGACGTCAATAAGGGGAAGGCGAAAGAAGTTCGCTAGGACAGAGAAGGTCTTAAGATTGACTATCTCTACTTTACTCTTTGGCATCAAGGGTGCAGCTGCTGCTGGAGATGCTTTCCCACCTGTAAAATCAGCTGCTGCAGGTCTTCTCTTTAGAATAAATTCTGTAAAGGTAATTTAACGTCTTTCGGCTTCCTTGGAACAATTACAGTAAGGCTTAAAAATCTTTTACAGAAGTTCAAAGATGATAAGGCCGACATTGAGCAACTATCACACTTGGTGGAAGAGTTTGGCAGCATATTAGAGGATACTTTGTTGAAGGCAAGCTTCCCAAGAGAGTTCGAGGCAGCGGCTATCCATTTCAATCGGTAACGGCATTCTAATAGTTCTGAAAATAGATATTTACAATCAACGTCCACACTGTACTGGTCATAGCTGCTGATGATCTTTCACATAAATCAAAACGATCTCTTTTTGGCCGGTTGGCTCATCTACAAGAACGAATTGTGCTTCGCCAACGAGTGCGTAGTGAGATCAAGGCAGCTAAACAAAAATTCAAAGTGACTATACTATTCATTCATTATTTTTCGTTCAAATCTCAATCTACAATTTGGTTGCTGATTCCTTTCTCATAGCTTCAGATGCTCACTCACCCTGCTTATCATACTTCTGCACTTATCAAGATTGGTCATTGCCATGACTGTCGTCTGAGTAAGTGTGTGCCAATTATGAAAATGAACATGATTCTTGAATGACAAGATACACAGTTACCTTAGTTCTTTCCAGTGTTTTATTTTAATGTGGGGGAGTAACTGACGGCGTTATTTTGTAGGGAATCCCTATCCCCCTTAGGCTGCTCTGTCTTTTTTGAGTGCAGTCAATATTTAAACAAAGATCATAGATATCCCTCCAACATAGCAGCCGTCTACTGTTGAGTTGATAGCCACACGTAACACACCGAGCTTTCAAGAGGACGTATTATATTAGTTTTTATTTCAATGTGAAATGTGTAATTTATATATATGCTTGTAAATGTACTCAACCTTCAAAATGACATGCTACAAGAAGATACTATAAGAATTGCGATTCTACTATATTGTAACGTGCATTGAAGTATTTGTTTGCTATACTGACTCCTGAGTTTAAAAAAGGAAATATGGTAGGAATTACTAAGCATCAGTCCATACGACGTCGTAATACGAAATAGAGTGTGCTCACTGTGCTCATCTTTCTTTGCCTGCCATCCTTGACAATGAGCAGCACGCCTGCAACGAAACGAAGACGGATCAGCCGTTCTCCCTCACCAGTCTACAAAATAGATGACACTGTAGATGACTATGAGCCATATATCCCAGTCGCCCAGCGCCGCCAGGCAAAGCTCGCTGCCATCGCTTCTCGCAGCCTAGCTGGAAGGGCAAAGTCCTCAAAACAGTCAAGCTTAGAACCGGAGCAACCAGATGTAGATGACGCAGAGGAGAAACAGAGGGAAAGAGAGAGAAAGGAGCGGACGTTGTTGCTCGAGGCGCAGGAGGTGCATAGGAAGAAGGCCGTTGAAGGTATGCGAGCTGGTTATCGTAACATGTCGTGTACATCATTACTGACTGACTGAAGATGCTCAGAAGACTGAAGTAGAACGGAATGAAGAAGCGGATGCTGCTATCCTTGCTGCTATAGCGAGCAGAAAAAAGCTCGCATCGGATTTGGAATTGGCCAAGGGCATACAATATACTGAGCCTCTCAAGTCCTCGTAAGTATAGTGCCGGTTTGTAGCATGTCATTTAACTTAATCCACCCTCTTATAGTTGGACACCGCCTCGTTATATACAGGCACGGCCAAAAGAAGTGAATCAGCGAATTCGCGAACAGTACCATATTCTCGTCGAAGGAGAGGATATCCCGCCGCCCATTCCGAGCTTTGCGGTACGTGTACACCTATACCTTCAATTGGCTGAGGCTCATGGTCGACTTTCTTACAGGACATGAAGATTCCCGATGTGCTCCTCAAGAATCTCAAATCGAAGGGCATCGTGAGCCCTACCCCCATTCAAACACAAGGTTTGCCGGTAGCGTGTGTTAATACCTTTCATTTGCATTATGCCGGGATGCTCATGTTGTTCACAGACTCGCCGGAAGGGATATGATAGGGATTGCATTTACCGGTTCAGGAAAGACGCTCGCATTCTGTCTACCGTTGATTATGTTCGCAGCCGAAGAGGAGACAAAATTGCCATTTGTTCGTGGTGAGGGACCGGTTGGTATAATACTATGTCCATCAGTGAGTACGGTCGTCGTTGTAGTTCCGAGCTATTCGTCTTATTTTCCGTGTAGCGTGAACTGGCATCTCAGACGTTTGAAAATGTCCTTGGCTGGACGAGTGCTTTGGCGAGTGGCGGATATCCTCAACTGAATACTTTACTGTGCATTGGTGGCATCTCCATGTCGGAACAATCACATACGCTTAACAAAGGCCTTCACATTGTCGTTGCGACACCCGGTCGATTGATTGATATGTTGGAGAAGCGACGATTTAGTCTTGATAGTTGCAAGTTCCTGTGTATGGATGAAGCGGATCGGATGATCGATTTGGGGTTTGAAGATGATGTCCGGACTGTAATGAGTTTTTTCAAGGTAACGTGGATTAGTGATGCCGCTTGCTGCCAAAGTCGACTTATAATTTATAGTCCCAACGACAAACTCTTTTGTTCTCTGCTACTATGCCCAGGAAAATCCAGGACTTTGCACAACAGTCGCTCATACAGCCTGTCCTTGTGAATGTTGGGCGCGCTGGAGCGGCAAATTTGGACGTACTCCAGGTCGTCGAATATGTGAAACAGGAGGCAAAGATGGTGTATCTCCTTGAATGCCTGCAGAAGACTCCACCGCCTGTGATCATCTTTAGCGATAACAAGAATGAAGTGGATGGTAAGTACCTTTCTTTAGTACCACTTCCGAATTTTACCTAACATCTCCTATGTAGATATTCAGGAGTATCTCCTGCTGAAAGGCGTAGAAGCAGTTGCCATCCATGGATCAAAAAGTGTGTAGTCTCTAAGTCCATCGTGAAAAAAGAGGAAGATACTTATTAACATCAACAGCCCAAGAAGAACGACAATATGCAATAAAGTCATTCAAGTCAGGTGCAAAAGACGTGATGGTCGCCTCGGGTGTTGCTTCCAAGGGACTCGACTTCAACGACATCCAACACGTCATCATCTTCTCCATGCCGAAGGAAATCGAAGACTACGTTCATCAGATTGGAAGAACCGGGAGGAGCGGGAAGACAGGTATCGCCACGACGTTTGTGAATATGAATACGTCTGAGCAGACGTTGTTGGATTTGAAGTATTTGTTGATGGAGGCAGGGCAGAAGTACGTTTTATCTTTTCTTCCTACATGGTCCAAAGAATATCCGCTGATATAGTTTTTATTTGTTTTTTTAGGGTCCCACCGTTCCTTGTATCAATCGAAGACCCAAGGACTGCTCAGGGCGCTTCGTTCAAAGGGTGTCCGGTCTGTGGTGGTTTGGGACATGGTATATCGCTTTGTCCAAAGTTGGAGGACTCCCAACGCAGACAGATGGCATCGCATAGGGCGGATGATATGGGCGGCAATTACTGATTGCGGGCTCTGATTTTTGGTTGTTGTGGGCTCATTAGTCACCGGGGACTTGTGAACCCCGTCTGCATCTTTTGATAGTCTAGAAGGATCATCTCATAATGTATTGCATTTAATGGTTTATGGCGTATGTATGAATAATGAACTGGATCAGGCATTGTTGTTCAACTCATGCTTAAATATGTAGATGAGATACATGATGCATGCACGATAATATGCAAGATGGGTATAATTTTATCATGGTGCACTAATAGATTGAACCGGACCAGGCACTGTCGTTGTTTAGCCAATGCTTGAATGTCTCGTCGCAAAGTCTTCATCGCTCATGGCAAAATTTAGCAGATATCATTGAAAGAGATGAAGTATGCAGACGAGATACAAAATGCATGCACTACTCAGTAACAAAATGCGAAGTAGAAATCATCGTGTATCCCTACGGAATCGATCAAGGACACTTGGCTTCCGCGTTGTTTCTCCTCCACGCGAGGTTGCGAGTGCTCGACGGCGTTCTTCGCGTTGTTTTTCGAGTTTGGCGCGGATGGCCACCTGTGAAATGGGCAATGAAGAGGCGGTAAGTTCGTGGTATCCTTTTTTGATAAGGATAGACGGATAGGAAACGGAAGGACGTACGGTTTGTGGGTCGATCACATTTTTGCGGTGTTTGCGTAGGTATCTGTGTAGTAAAGTGGATAGAGAAAATCAGGGGGCATCTGACTAAGAACATGGGCGAGACGTACCGTTTCATACTCTTGTTCTTCCCTCGCATTTTCTTTTTTATGCGCTCCTTCAGGACTTTCTTTGTCTTCTCTGCGCTCTTCGTGCCTTCCCCATTTACACCGTCCCCTTCTCCCTCCTCCTGACTATCATCATCTCCGTCTGAAGTGTCCGAAGTGTCAACTTCCTCTGTTGGGTCGTACTTGCCAGCAACCTTGAGTCTGTCGATACGAGGAAGGCGCGAGAAGGGTAAGTCGGGTGTTTGGCCTTCTCCACCTGGAAGAGTTAGTTTGGAGGGAGGGGCGAGAGAACCTGGGGCTGGGCCTGAGAAGGTTATGAGCTCCGGAGCAATCTAAAGTTAGTGAAAAGAATGTCAGTCTAACTGGAAAGAAAATCTGGAGAAGGGAGCAGGGACAGGGAGGCGAACCTTGTCGAGTAAGTTGCGAACTTCGCGTTCTCTTCTCATGTGCTTGTTCTCGAATGGGTCTGCTTCACCGGAGTCGAAGTGGGGTTCGCCGCTTCCTGGGATGAGGATGCTTGAGAGTCCACGGGCGTGTCCGATTGTAAGGACGTCGGAGAAGGGACAGAAGCGGAGAGATGTGAGTGGGCGAGAGGGGATGGGGTGTGTGAGGTAGAGAGGAGGTGGGGCGCGTGGGTTGGAGGGGATTGGAGTGTGGTTGTGGGGAGGGTTGTATGTCTAGAGGGTGACATAGTGAGAGTGACCTTGAGTTTGAGTTTTTTAGTGGTGAATAGGGGGAAAGGTATACGTACGTTTACTGTTCCGCCTGAAGCGACTGCAAGTGTACCCTTCGCACTCCATTCGACTTCGCCGCCACCCCCACGAGTTGTCCATTCACGCACAACGCCCCATGTACGAGAGTCCCATACTTTTACTAGACCGTCCACTCCTGCAGTCGCAAGGTATCGTCCACTATCACTCGGATCGACAGACAGACCCGTGATACCTCCGCGATGTGCAAGAAGAGATACAGCAGGATGCGCAAGATTTGGTGTCCAAAGCGTTACACGTCCATTTTGATGACCGAGGTATAACACTGCTGTCTGTGGATTTTGCGCAAGTGTGTGACAAGATCCAAGTCCTGTTCGGTGTGAAGCAACGAGTTGGCCGGTTGAGGTATCTTGGTATTTTAAATGTCCTGAGTTGCCAACGCTCGCGAGGAGCCAGTGGTAAGGCAGGAATTCGAGTCGTGTAGGCTCGACGTGGTTTTTGAGTTTGTGCAGCTCGACGCCGTTTTGGTCGTAGATGAAAGCGTATTTCTTTTGTGCGACGGCGAAGTGAGATTGATCATGCAGGTACCTTTATATAATATGTAAGTTCATTTAAATATGAGGAAAGAGCTGAATGGTAATGAACGCACGTAATATCTCGACATGTTTCTCGGAGCTGCAACTCCGCATGCATAGTTCCGGTTTGCCAGTCAAATGACGCGACATGACCGAGCTTCCCAACAATGGCGAGATGTCGACCATTTCGTGTGTACCTGACTCTATACGGCCCACCGTCGAGCTTGTATTCTTTTTGCTGTCGCGCGGCTTCGACACCAACCTCGCGTACAATCTCTGCCTGACCAACGCGCCAAGTCCGTTCCATCTCGTCCTCAACCTCGACACGACCTGCATCTGCGCCGACTGCTTCTGTGAGTAGCGCAACATCTGCGCGGAGAGCTTGCGACCTAGCGGTTTGCTCGGCTCGTCTGTCAAGCTCTAGTCGGAGAGACTTGTTTGTTATATGTGCATGTTTCTTGACGCCTTTTGGAGGAGGAGAGGTAGGACGAAGTGAGCGCGGCAAAGAGGTTTTGGACTTGATGGAGATCAAAGTTTCTGACGCTTTCTCGGGCTGAGAGGACTCTTTGGCTTTCTTAGATCCATCTGATGTTCGACCATGCTTGGACTTGGAAGGGCCTGGTTTGTCGCCAGTTTTTCGACGTTTCGCAACAGGCCGCATCGCGTCTGCCTTCGCTATGAGTGAGTCCATGGCTATTTTTTGTCTTTGAGTTATTAAGTCTTCGCGTATTTAACAATAGTTTTACTTACCGACACTGCGAACGAAGTAAAATGGTTCTTAGCGTGTTGACCAAAAATTCAAGGCATAGAAATGAATCAAATGATCTGCGCGTCGATCGTCCGGCAATATCACGTGCTGTTTCGGGAGTGCATATACCCAGCCAGGTAGTGAGGCACAGGCAGCAGAAATTCCGCTCCGTCAGCATCCGGCACAATGCAATAATATTCTTACTCATTCACAAACCACCATGCCGCTTCCCTCTCCCCTCAAGCTCAAGCAATGGCTCTCAGATAATGCGGAGAAATTACAACCCCCTGTGAATAATTTTTGTTTGTATTCTGGGAAGGACTTTGTTGTTATGGCGGTCGGTGGTCCCAATGAGCGGAATGACTTTCATGTTAATGAGACTGAGGTATGTCTTATGTGTTCGGGTGCTTGTGGGGACTGTTTCGATGATTGATTTACTTATGATATTTTTGTGTGTTTATAGGAATGGTTTTATCAACATAAGGGACCAATGCTTCTGCGCGTTGTAGACGGAGACGAAGTCCGGGATATTCATATTGAAGAGGGGGAAATGTTTCTCCTACCTGGTATGCTTCAAGTACCTTTGCGGTTCAAGTATTCATCTCTTATCTACGAATATTATTAGGAAACACACCGCACAATCCAGTACGTTTCGCAAATACCGTAGGTCTAGTCATTGAGCGTGTGCGACCTGATAACGCCATCGGTGCGTGCTCCCCTTCCCCCTACTTCTAGAAGCATGTAGAATAATTTGGCTATCCTCGGTAGATCGTCTCCGTTGGTATTGTCGTTCTGGGGCTCATAACAAACCAACTATAATCCGGGAAGAGGCGCTTCACGTCACTGACTTGGGCTCACAACTAAAACCGATAATCCAGGCCTGGATGACTGACGAGAATCGCAGGAGGTGTCCGGAATGCGGGTTAATCGCCGTTCCGAAGTGAGAGAGATAACGCTTATTGATTATTGATTATAATATGTGGATTTATATTGCATGAGTCAGTCGTTGTAACTGCTGAGAAATATACTGGATATATTTTGGATTGGATTAGATTAGGGACGTGTGTCGATCGCGGGTATCACCGATCCCTTCGCCTTGACCCATACCGTCGATCCTCATCTTACATAATATACCTGTGAAGTAAAAACTTTGGTCATCTGCTCGTGAAATTAGTGAACATCTTTTACATCCCTGCAGTCATGGCAGCAGCAAAATCCACCAAAAAGCGCGTCGCATCAACAAACCCTGGTCCAGCTAAAAAGAAAGCTCATTTGGACAAGTCCATTGCCGAGAAACGAGTGCAGCGAAAAGTACCTGTAACCAATGCACGAATAGAGGAAGAGAGTGAATCGTCGGAGGGGGAAGAGGACGAGGATGAGGAAGAAGAATGGGCAGGGACGGGTAGTGATGGAGGTGACTTTGAAGACGTGGAAGAAGGTGAAGCAGAATTTGAAGATACAGATGAGGAGGCGAAGGAGAATAAGGATGATATGGATGTCGACCATACATCTAGTAAACCTTCGCGTGAAGACGGTAAAAGTGCGTTTGACCCTCCTTAACTTCAAAGGTGCTTCGTAGTTTACGCTTTTAATTGTTCTTGAAGGCTCACGAGAGGCACACAAGCTCCAAAAAGCAGTACATCAAGAACGAAAAGCGGCGAAGCAACATGCAGACGTGCTCGTTGCTGCAAAACCTCTATGGGCGCGAGCGCGTCGGAAACAGGCAACTCCCGCTGAGCGGCAGAAAGATATTGAGGCGCTTATGGAGGTTGTACGAGGACGAGTTCAAGATGTGGTGTTTAAGCATGATGCGAGTCGGGTGGTGCAGACGCTCGTGAAGTATGGGTCGCAGAGAGTAAGAGACGAGGTTGCTGCGGAGCTGAAGGGACGGTATCGGGATCTTGTACAGAATAAATACTCGAAGGTGAGTCATATTCCCTGCTTTAAAAGGCTCTACCTGACATGATTTATGGCAGTTCCTAGTGACGAAACTTATTCGACAATGTCCATCGCATCGTACCTCTATACTTCTTGAGTTCCGGGGACACGTCGTCCGCTTATTGCTCCACCGAGAGGCATCCAGCGTTCTCGCAGACGCGTTCGAACTTTATTCTAATGCCTTTGAGCGCTCTTTGCTCGTGCATGACTTTTACGGAAAAGAGGTCGCGTTATTTTCTCCTGCAATTTCCAAGGGAGCAGCGGCGGACGAGAAGGATAAAGCGGTACTGAAGAAAGGACTAGCAGGTGCGCTAGAGGGTGCCGATACTGAACGAAGGAAACGCATATTAGCGGCCGTGAAGGAGAACCTAGAACTGATGTATGTGAAGCAGCGTTATGCGCTACTTTTTTATTGGTATTCTGATATGTTGTGTTTACAGAATGAATAATCCGGATAAGGGTGCAATATCGCATGCAATTTTCCATCGGGCTCTATTAGAGTATCTTCTGCAGGTAAATGAGCTTGATGACGAGGCACTTCAAGAAAAGCTTCGACGAGAAATCTTTGAAGCGTAAGTGTCTTACCAATCGTAATTCTGCTGTGTGCTGATGGATGATGCAGTTGCCAAGAACAGCTGGCTGAAATGGTACACACGAAAGATGGAAGTCGTGTTGTACGAGAATTTATCGCATGGGGAACAGCGAAGGTATGCCTTTTATCCTCCGCCCCTGTTGGTCTGTTTTACTGAGTAGTATTCAGGACCGAAAACAAGTTGTGAAGGTGTTGAAACCACACGTTGAACGAATATGCAAAGATGAAGAAGCACAAAATGTTCTGTTCACAGCGTTGGACGTTATCGAGTAAGATAGTTCCAACTTCTCTGTGATCATTATAATTAATTGATTTGTTCTATCAGTGACACGAAACTCACAGCCAAATCGTTGGTTTCGGAGATAACTTCACGCGCTATGGACTTGTACAACTCCCCACAAGGTCGACGAGCTCTACTCTATCTTCTCGTCCCCCGGGTAACTCGGCACTTTACACCCGCACAGTGTGCTTTACTTGCAGAAACGGATTCTATTCGAGCGAAGACTAGTAAAAAGGACGTGGCGGTGCGAAGGGAGGAGATACTTAAAGCTGCTAGCCCTTCACTTATTGCGTTACTTGATGAAAGGAATAATGCGGAGACGTTGGTTCGGGATCCGGGTGGGAGTCTGCTTGTTACGGAGGTTATGTTGTATGCGGAGGGTGGTATGTGATTTTCGTTTTTTTCGTGAATCTGGGACTAAGCGTGTTGTTTCCTGACGTGTGTCACATTTAGATAAGGCGAAGGCGACAGCATCACTCATTGCCTTGCTAAATGAGCCTTACCCCTCATCCGACTCTAGTAAACAGCATGTCATCGATGTTCCACACTCATCTCGCGTCTACAAAACCCTCTTACAAGGTGGCCATTTCTCGCACTCCACACGTACTGTAGCGCGTGTCCCTGAATCTGTGTTCTCACCTGCAAAATTCGCCACGGCGTGGATGAAAGATGTCGATAGGGAGCGTACCTGCGCGATGGGACTTGGCGGTGGTACGTTCGTTATTGCAGCTTTGGTGGAACGGCTTAACGAGGAAGGAGGGAAGGGAGAGAAGGACGCTTTGAAGAGCTGGTTTGGTGAGGGGTATGTGAAGAGGTTAAGAGAGAGTGAGGTTAAGGGGAAGAAGGTGCTTCTGGATGCTTTGGGTAGCTGAGACTAGTGCTGTACCGATTTCCCTACCACAATATCCGTAAAACCTATTTAAGAGCTTAGAACTCCTAAGACAATATGACACCGAGAGAAAGAAAATCATTAGAGGAAGTAGCATAGAAAGGAGGCAAAATTCAATGTCGAATTAAGATAATGTCGTCCAATACGTAGCAAATAATATTATAAGGCGTCCAGCATCTACACTCGAACCCCGAAAATTACATATGTATTTTAAACAAAAACAAGACCATACCAATCAACCAATCAATCATCTATAGTAATGAGTTGTGGAGCGTCCCCATCTTCGAGTTTTTCGTTGGGGTCATCAAGCATCAATAACCCATCCTCCTCGAAACGACGCTTCTTACTGGGACTTGAGAGGTTTACGTCTTGTAGGTTGCTACTGTTTGCTTTTACGCGTTTCGCTGGTGGAACGCCGTGTGCGAGGTCTTCTGCTTCTAATACTCGTTTGCGTGCTGGTGTAGATGGTGGGGAGGTGGGAGGAGCTGGTTGTGGTTTCACCACCTCTGGTGGGATGGGGAGAGGGGAGGGTAGGATGTATGCGGGTGCATCGATGGGATGATTGGGTCTATAGCTGACCGTTTAACACACAATTGACAGAACAGACTATTAGCATTAATACGTACGGTAATCTGGATATGGAGGCTGCAATGGTGCCTAACTCCTCATCTTCGTCAACGATAGTTAGGAACTTCCCGTGCGTCACGCCAAGGCTGGCAAGTGATCGGTCCAAATTGTCTTCGAAGTCCGGATCAGCGAGTAATCGTTTGTCTTCGTATACGGAAACGTCCCGCAGTCCTGTTCCAGGATCGACTCCTTCACCAGTACCAAGAAGCCCATTGACCGCTTCAGACAGAGTGACGCGCTCAGGATCACAGGGAAAGTCAACGTATATATCGCGACAAACTCCGCACCCTGGTGCTGGTAGTCCGACGGTACAGGCATTTAGAGGTACCTCGGCCTTACGCTGAAGATGTACGTTACGCAGGCCGCTGTAGTTCTTTCGCAGTAGTTGTACTGCCTGTAGTACGATGATACCAGCGATTATTGCGTTTGTGGTTGCGATAGCTGGTATGATGTTCCCTGCCATTTCTATCCACGTTGTGGCAATTGTCAAGATCGACTTGCGACAATTAAAATAAGGAACGAACCTTTGATTTCCCAGCGACTTTTTCGCGGAATACCATAAGCCGCTGAACGTAAGTTTGAGGCAGCGGTTACGAAGTCTAGTGTGTCGTCGTCGTCCTTGTCAAACGAAATCGTATCTTCTCCATTTCGCAATCGTGCAGCCAAACGATGCGTGCTAAAGTGAATGAATATCGGTCGTTCGAAGATGTCACAAACGGGAATAGGTTGTTAACCTACCTCGAAACGAACAGGACCAAGCTTTCCTGTAGTGTGAGTTCCTTCTGGTCCTTAAGCGAGGATGCCAGAGCCGATGACGATGCAGTTGGCGTGGAATCGGATGTCTTCGCGATTCCGTTAACCATTGGCTTCGGTGACGCATTGTTAGCACTACCGTTAGGTTCAGATATCCCGTTAGGGACGCTTGATGAGCCAGCACTTAGACTGAATGTGCCATCAGCTATGCCATCATAGTCTAGAGGTACTGGTGGCGTTCGAGTCTTCCACATGTCTGACATGCTCAAGAGATTTCTGACGTCAGAATTGAAGACCTATTGGAATAAACGATAGGCATGAACCAAAAGTTGTATCAGTGTCAGGCATTCTTTAAAATCAGTATATACCAGCCTTGTCAAAAGCAAGACGCGCTGGGTCTTTCAGTTTGTCGCTGTAATCTCGCCCATCCGATGCAGTTCCATTAGGGGAAGAGTTAGTACGAAGTGCTTTCCGGACAAGGGCGAATGCCTGCGCCTCTTTCCGTAAGTTTGCAATTTCCTCAGCTGTAACGCAAGATTAATTAAGGTTAGGCAAGGAACAAATACTAAACTTACAATTTTCACCTGCTCTTTCCGCATCGTCGAGTTCGTCGCTGCCATATTCGTCTTCTCCAAATAATTGCCTAGAACCGGACCAAAGTATTAGCACGACCCGGACAGAATAATGACGAAGAAAACTGAAGGGACTCACTGTAGCAAGTAGCTTTTAGCCCACACGATACAATGGATTGGTTGACTTGGTGTACTTCGAATGGTGCAAACGGGGAATGTCTTTGGAACAGGTTTCGGTAAACAGTCAAAGCACTCGAATCGGTCCTAAATGAAAACCAAGAAATCCCATGAGCATGCAACTTTTTAAATAGTTTAAAGGAGCACGACAGTAGCATAACGACGAAGGGGTTGACACGTACTTTTAATATGGGCTGTACTTGACCATAGTAGCCGGCCGTACCGGATTCTACTAGTGGAACGCCCGCAGCGAGGCATAGTTTATTGACATGTCTTCGTGCGTCTGCGTCGATGTTTTGGTAGGCGTGGCATACGACAGAATACAGGAACATTATTAGTGCACGAGCATGAATTCAAGAGATTAGGACCTCACCGAGATTATCCAATGCGTTGAGGACGATATCAAATCCACGGAACCACGCAACATCAAACTGCGGTTCTTTGATATTTGCGTGTATGGGAGTGATGCGTACATTTGGATTGAAAGTTTGGGCGGTACGTGCAGCAACCTTTCCATACAGCAGACAAAAAGTCCCAAGTCAGACGGCAAATTTTGATTAATTGGCGTGATTGGGACGAACCAGTGCTTTTGACTGCTTAATGTCCTTTTTGCGGAAGAGGAATTGTCGGTTTAAATTCGACAGGTCGATAGTATCAAGGTCCAGCAAGGTAATTTTTCCGAAACCCGTTAAGACGACATTTTTTACTAGAGGCGTGTTAGTGATGGTATGGGGAATAGCTTGATGGCGCACTTACGGAGCTCACAGCCAATCCCGCCAGCACCCACAAGCAGAACCTTAACATTGGAGAGACGTTCATGGAAATCTGAGCCAAGAACAGCTCTAGCACGTGCATTTCGCGAGGCAGCTGCTGAGCCGGACCTGTCTGCCATGGTGGAAGTGCAGAAGAGAGATAGCAGGCGCCTCGGTTTGGTGCAGTTTGGGCGGAGAGACTCATAGACGCGCTCTTCCACAGTACGTAGTCACATCGCACGTCACGCGTTGTCTCTATTTTTAGTGTCGACACGAGGCATTACTACTACATACAAACAGCATTGTATGTGATAGAAAAAAGAATCAACGCTATGCTATGGACAAAGCATATACAAAGCAAACACGAAGAACTAGTCGCAAAGCTAATTTTACTGACTATAGACCTGAGTATTGTTGCATTCACATCCACATCCTGATGGACAATAACTAAACTGCTGCGTTCTCCAACACCTCAGGTGGGCAGTATGGCAGCATACGATACAGATATGAGATATACCTGAGGAAATTCGTTAGTAGTGTGTAAGACATATTAGCACAAGAAGTATACCTTTGACGGGTGAACGACAGATAATGCACAAAGGGTATGACTTGACAGTGCAATTGGGGCATTTGTTGTTTTCGAGTTCAGAGAAGCACTTCTGGCATACTGATACCACCCCTATTGAAGAAGTTGGAGAAAATATTAGACGATATACAACATGCAATAATAGTTGAAGATATACCGAAGTCCGTTGAGTTTACCCAAAGTGAATAAGGGTCAGGTATCTTTACGGCCTTATACAACTCAGCGCATTTCTGCGTGAGCTGCCAACCATGCAACATTTCACCATATGCGTGGATATGGAAGAGCAACTGTTCTCGTGAACTGATCAAGTATCATAATCTAACTTTAATAGGCAGATTGAGACAGACAATGGAGAAACTTGCCTGGAACGCGGCATTGTAGACAGTGTGGATTTGCTGTCGCCATTCCGAACATACAGGACCCGCTTTCCGCGTGAGGAGACGCCAGACGCTTCAACGGAGACTTTCCTATAGAATAGGACGTATTGTAAATCACGATCATATGTATATAATAGTAGATAATCACTAACTCTGCAGGGGACACCTTATTCCGGACTTGCCCCTGAGAAGTCCCAATTAAATGGCGAACTGTACCAGCGTTAAAGATATTTGACCATGACCCTCTGGACGACGAAGAGGATCCCAGGCTCTGACCCATCGTCGGCGTCACAGGTGAGACTGGGGAATTGGAAGAGCGAGACACAAATGTAGGTGAGAATTTTCGAGTGTTCCTTCGCGTTTTATGATTGAAATAATCTGTTGGTTGGGTTTCGGTCGAATTTGAGAAAGCGGAGCCAGTTGGTCGTTCCGCTGAATCCACTAACCTCGCGAGTCATTAAGAATGCTACAGATACAAAAACATGGCACTTGCCTTTTGTTCGAGACTTCGCTGTATCGAGCTGCAACACAACAACGGCGAACATGGCCAAGAGCTGTACGTCCTTCATCTCAAGCAGCCGGGTATGGCTATTCCGAAAAGCTTTCAACTCGAGTCTGGGAAGCGAAAAGAAAAAAGAACGCACAGCATATCAATGATCAGACTCGTGTATCGTAAGCTAGTATCCTTAGGTGTCGGGGCAGAGAAAGCTGTATTCAACTTGTGTAACGAATCCAGACCCTTAATGGACGCCGCGAGAGCGTTGAATACTCTTTCATGATCATAGCGACAGTGACGGTGAGCTATCCCCGCGTTCAGCTGACAGAGTTCAATCGGACTATCTGCCTCGAAGACGTAGTCTTCTGCTAAACTTCGGTGTGCACCAACGACTGGAGACTTATCCTTGACGTACACGATGGTTAACCGTTTCGGTAAGAGAGAGTAATTATTCTGGGATGTATCTGATGTCTTCGCCGACTCCTGAGTATTCGGTCTTGGTTGAGAGAACGACAGCACGTTATTCATTATGCGGAGGATATTCTCCATGTCCTCTGGGTCTCTTGAATCAAGGAAATCGTACGAATGATCGTTAGCAGCTACAGCCAATCTCCGTACCGCGTCTGAAAGCTGGAGTGGAGACCTGAACAGTCGCGAAACACCGTCCGGCTCTCGAGAAGGAATGGTTGCAGTTGGTACCAGGTCTTGCGGTACAGCCTTGATGATGCGCATTACAGATCGGAATATGCATACGAGCTGACCTGTTCAACCCTCGTCGGCCATGAGAACGAATAAAAGGGGAAATATAAGCTCACCGTTTGGGCCAAAGACGCCTTGAGATGACCTAGGCTCCGCGAGATTTTGGTCTTCTCGAATCAGGGCGGAAGAAAAATCCTTGTCCTTCTCGACCTCAGGTTGCACTTCCTCTTCTGATGATGTCCCAGAATCGAGATTTCGCTTTTTCCGTCGCCCGCCGTCAGCGAACAGGAGAAAGCTCAGACAAGCTTCTAGGCAAGGCCTTTGAGTCTCTCGTATCTCCCGAAGCCTCCGCTGCATATAAGCGCGTCTCTTCACTGATATCAATGGACTTCGTTCAATTTCTACGGCTGGTGTACCACGAGGATGTTTGGCGGATGGATAATCTTTTGGAAAGGTGAAAGTGACGCGGACGAAGACGTTCACTGTTGACGATTCGCCCCAGGGACCGTGCAGACCGAATGTACAAGTACGATGCTTTGTCAAGCCGTGCTGAAAGCCCACGAGTTAGTTAGACTCCGAAAATATTAAATACGAATTGGAACGTACCCTTTCTAATTTCACCTTCGCGGGCGAGAATTTATTCACAACAGAGTTAATCCTGTGAGACACCAAGTCAGACCAGAGCCACAATCCAAACGTAAATTCTACTTACTCGTCCAGCAGCGTAGCAGCGCTTTCAGAGTCTCGCGGACCGTCTTCAGTCCTACTCCGACTTGCGCTTCTCCCTCGGCTCATTTCCAATTGAGATAGATCACGTCTTGATATTGAAGGTGGTCGAGGAGATCCGGAGCTATAACGAGAAGGCCCGACGCTTTCCGCTCGGAAGCTCGAAAGCCATGTTGCTGTATCCATCCGCTGTCTGACTCCTTTCGTGTTTCCTTTGCTCATCGTTCCGTCCCTTCGTTCTACAGCACTTGGTGCCATGACCCGTTGTGCTGTATTATTCGATGGCCATTCTTTCTCTTTGAGTGCTTCGTGTCGGACACCCCGAGCTGCGGAGCCTTGATGAGGTAATAGAACTGGGTTGTTCTGCGTGGTGAGAGGTGAGGCTCGCACGCCAGCCAGAATTGAGCGATATCCTGTAGGAGCGGATAGGGCTGGCAGGGGTCCGGTACCAATTGGCTGCTCGCGGAAGGAAACCGATTCATCCCTTTCCAGTGGTTTGCGGTTTCGCTCTGATGTCTCGTTCGCAGTTCCAGCTTTCTGCACTCGTTGTTGATGCAAAACGAGAAAAGAGCATGATAATTTGACATACCTGTATAATATCTCGGCCGATCGGCCAGAAGCGCAATGACTTGTCTTTGGACCAGGTAATCAATTGGAAAGCTTTATCTGCGGCCAATTCTCAATCTTGTAAAAGGATAGTAATATGGAAGAAGATACCATTTGCGCTTCCAGTACATCGCGTCCTCCAGACGTATTCCTTAACGACGTCAGTATGTCCCTCAAAAACATGGACGGGAACTCTATCATCATCGTAGTTCCACATCTCCAAAACAGATTCGCCTCGTTGCGGAAGGCTGAGAACGCCGTTACCGAAGGGTAAATCCCTGGCACGCCATACAGGACGACTTGTTTGTAAGACCCGGGTCGGTTCGCAATCGGCGGTTTGCAGTTTGGTAGTATCCCAGATCTTGATGGTTTTGTCGAGTGAGCAAGTTATGATCTCGTTCCGACGGGAATGTGACCAGTCGATACCATATATCTTGCCGTCGTGAGCCCTTACGCGAGACACAGGAGTTGATCCTTTCTGCAAGGATATTCAGTATTAAAGCGAGAGATTGTAACGAGTTGCTGACCCTTCGGTCCCATATAAGGACTTCGTCCAAGTGAGATGAAGCGAGTATGTTGCCATCTTTGCGATTCCACTTGACTTGCGTGCCTCCAGCTAAACGCATATATTCGAATTAGCTCATTGCGGGAGGCTCGAGTCGAGAACTCTTACCGTTAAAAGCCGACAAACCTAAGGAAAGAACAAACTGTGAAACTAATGTCATGAATTGCAAAAGACGACTCACCGAACGCAGGCTTTTGCGGGGATCTAATGTCCCAAGCCCATATCCACGAATCTATTCCAGTACTGCACACAAGATCAGGATCGAAGGTGTGCCAATTAATATCTGTTATTGCCCTGTAGTGTGACTGGAGAATGAATTCTATAGACGTCTTCCCAACCAGCAGAAGGTTCCAAATCAACCTGCCGGACATTATTTAGTCCTCAGACGCTTTCGGTAATATGCGGTAAGGAAGACCAACATGCGTTCACTTGAGGTTGATACGATGTATTCGGAATGACTGGGATTTGGGTTCCATTGGACGTCGGCCACGTCCCAGGTACCGCCTTGTGGTAGAAATCTGGGTATTTCCAGAGGTGCCTCGAGGTCAATTATAAACAAGCCTTTCCTCCTGTATTGTATGCTATATCGTAAGCAAGCATGTTCTCTGATGCATAAGAGCGTAGCATACGCAGCAAGAACGATATCCCGACTAGTTGGGCTTATGCTCATCTAACACAAACATAGATATTATAATTGCTCTTAGGTCCATACGCATTAGGCATCGGGATGACTGAATGCTCACATTACCGACAGAGTCGCCAACCATAGATTTCATATCAATCTGCAAGGCCTGCTTAAACTTTCCATCCTCCTCCGGTGAATCTGGTTCATGGATCGTCTCATTGCGGAGGCCGGAGCTTGTCGGGATGGTCGCATTACTGCCGTCTTCATGCGTTGTATAGATATTTTGAGGTACGGAGGGTCTTCGAGCAGATAAATAGCTAAGTGGAGGCGAAGTTGGGCTTTGCAAGGGCTGTGTTGGTCCGATAGTTGTAGGGGAATTGTTTGATGCTGGCATGCAGGTCGTGGTCGTCGTCTGGCACCAAGAGACGCGACGCGACCTCCAGGCACACGCGACCAGCACTCTGCTTCCGACAAGCATATTCAATTCATGTTAGCAGCATGGCTTCGTCCTCGACGGCCGTGCCTAAGGCAATTACATCTCAGTATACCCAGGACACCGCGAATATCGCGTCTATTTTCTACTCTCGAGGCAGTGGATAAAGACAATGCACGATTACTAGCTATCGTCGAAAAACGCATTACTGAACGGAATTCGCTTGCAGCGAAGGTACGAGGAGTACCATTAATGTCTTTCCTGCATTCACTTAGACGTATTCGATAGATAAATACCCTGGACCCAGCCTCTCTAGACATTGAGCAAAATAGACGTCTGAAAAGCTTGGATGGATTCTACGAGACGTGGTCCAAATGGCAGGAAACCAGGAATGTGAGATACCTGTCCATCATCTAATTCAGCAGAGAATCAGTCAACTAATCATGGTTTAGTAGTCCTTAGTCGAAACCGCGACCCTCCTCCGAGACGACGACCCAACCATTCGTGAACTCGCCGAAGAAGAATACGAAGCCCTCCTGAAAAAATACAACGACTTTCTTCACGACAAATTCCCTGCACTTCTCATACCCCACTCACAAACATCGGACATGTCAGCACTACTAGAAATAAAACCAGGTGTAGGCGGTTCAGAGTCGTCACTCTTCCTGGCAGACCTTTTGAGAATGTATTCGCGTTTTGCTAATTTACGTGGATGGTCGTCTAAAATTGTTGCACAAGAGGATAGGGAGGGAGGTGGGATGAAGAATGCGATTTTGGAAGTTGATGGAGAAGGGGCGTATGATTGTTTGCGCTGGGAAAGCGGTGTACATAGAGTGCAGCGGGTGCCGAAGACTGAGGCTGCTGGGAGAGTGCATACCAGTACTGTGCAGGTTATCGTACGTTCAGAGCCTTTCTCACTATATGTTTGAGTTCATATTAATAATTTCATGGACAGGTTTTACCGACTTCGGATGAAACGTCGGACTCACAAGTCGCTGGAGACCTCTTTGACCAGAAAGACATCAAAATTGAGGTTATGCGGGCTCGAGGTGCTGGTGGACAGGTCTGTATGCCAGGCTTGCATCATGGAACAAGAAAGCACTAACGACTTTATCATGGAATTGCAGCATGTCAACAAAACCGAGTCAGCTGTCCGACTCACCCATATCCCAACCGGGATAACAGTGTCTATGCAGGACGAAAGGAGTCAACATATGGTACGTTGTCTTCACCTTTGCATTCCACGCCCCGTTACAAATATACTCCTAACACAATTTTACGAAGAACAAATCCCGTGCTTTCCAAGTACTCCGAGCACGCCTACTAGACCGAAAACTACAGGCGGAAATTGCCGAGCGAAGGGATACCAGACGCCAACTCGTACGAAGTGCTGACCGTAGTGAAAAGATTCGAACATACAACTTTGCTCAGGTACTTTTTTTGTCCTCTTTACATGTCCGCCTGCCATTTTGCTGAAACTGATGTCTTTGATATTTATAGGACAGAGTGACTGACCATCGAATAGGGTTGACACTTAAGAACTTGGTCTCAGTTCTTGACGGTGAAGGGTTGCAAACCATTCTAGACGCTTTACAGGCCGATTACTATCAGAGTCTCGTCGAAGACGTACTTGAGAATGAGTGATAGTAGTCATATATAAGAATTTTTCGCTGAAGGAGGGGTATATCATTAAAAAAGTGACATGCATAAAAATGAACAGATAATCCAACCATATTGTACATAACGAATGTCTAATATCTGAAATCCCAATTTACCATAGAACACTAAGATCCTGGGAACTCTCCAGGAATAGTCTTCCTACGCTTCTCCGGATGATGGAAATATGTACCATGCCTTTGTTTAGAAGGCGTGACTACAGTAGCAGTAGGGGTTGCGGTCGCTGCTGCTGCTGTTGACGGCCCAGCAGCATCCAATGCAGTCGATACTGACGAACCATTTTCGTGTACGGAGGCATTGCTCGGTGTGCTGTCATTCCCATAATCTTCCTCTTCTGAATCAGTATCTGCATCCTCCATTAGCCAATGCGCGTCCTCGGGCAGGACAATGACTCCCGTCGCGTTGTCAAAGCTCAACCGATGGCTCACCCTTCGAGCATCCTGACCATTCTGCTCGTCCCTTTGATAATCAGTCCATGGGTTACCTAGAGTTGAATCGGCGTCTGAATATCCTGCTCGTTCCCGACCTCCAGCATCTTGTTCCTGTAAGAAGGATGCACTTATCGTCCTCCTACGTCCACCTTTGCGTATGCTGCCGTATCGCTTCCGCAGAGTGAGGACAACTGCTTCGCTATCATTCCGTGTTAAGCTTGGAGCTTCTCTGTTGACAAGTGTCTGCCCCTTCTTTAAGGGTAGCCATGGCTGCGGAAGGACGCCGTTGAGAGCCGGGTGTCCGTATCGACGTTTTCCGGTACTATACCCTTGATTAGTCGATGAAACTGATGCTCGGAAGATTAGTAGTACATACTTTAATACCCCATTGTACCAATTTGCCATGGGAGGTTGTGACTAGAATGAAAATTGACATGAGTGCTGGCCTACTGAGATGGAACAAAAGGAAGTCATACATAGTCCGTCCGCTCATCTTCCGGTGCGACATAGAGCGTCTCGTCATTCTGGGCATACCTCCTCCTATTCAGGTTGCTATATAAAGCTTCGTCAGAAACTTTAAGCGCGTGCAATTGCAAGGTACGATTACCTCTGGGACCAAGTAACAGGATGCCCAGCCCTCATCCTAAGAATTTCCGCCGATTCTTCACCTCGCTGCACCTCAAACACAGAGCTCAAATTGACACTCTTGCTCAGAGGTTTGAATAATTTCCAAGTGTATAACGACCAAACGAAAGTCGCGAGCATCAAGAGAGCCATGAAGAAAGATAAGACATATCCTTTTTTGAGAAGGAAGAGTCCCGTCATGAAGATTTGGAAAATGAATATGCCCCAGATGAGACGAGTAAATGTGATGGGCCAGGCTTGTCCTTGAGACTCGTATGGTTTATAGAAGACTAAGCGAAATTAGAACCTTTTGTCATACGTACTTTCATCGGGATGAACATACCAAATAAGAGCTTGTACTTGTACACCAAATACCCGATTCCAAAGTACAGAGCTCCGAATATAAGAATGGTGGGCTGGATCACGCTGTAGAGCATCGTCACCACAAAAACGAGGATAGCCTGTGGATAGACAACTCCGTAGTTGATCATCGGTGGTGCATTCAACTCGGCATAATCTACTGTGCATTAGAAATATGCAAAGTCCACAACAGTAGATGGACGTACCTCGTGGTGTTCGAGTCACGAATGCACGAAGAATAATGCGAGGTATTATAATTCCAAGGTTGAGGAGTTGTAAAGGCATAATGCCCAAGCTCTGGAGGAGGACATAGGAAAGGAAGAAATATCTATTGAGAAAGTCAGTGAATAATTCAATATCTTGGTATTGTTGTATTATCTTACCTAGCACGACCCTGGTGCAGAGCTTGCGCTATCCTCTCCGGTACTTTAGCGGGAGACTCCGCAAGTTCACGAATCAACTGCCAGTATGTACTCGCAAGCAGGAAGATGAAGACTACGTTAACGAGTAAGAAGAGGAAATATTTCTTCAAGAGTGAGTATTCGATCCAACTCCTAGCGCGATAACCTTGGAAATAGGTAAGGGCTGCAGAAACGAAATAGTTAGATCAGTCTATAATTATGTCGGGCATCTCTCACCTTCGAAAAGGAAGGGCAACAGCGCGTTCAACGAGATCATCGCAACAGACGGCAGAACATTTTGCACGATAGCACGCAATTGGTCGTTCGCATCAATCCAACGGCCAAGCCATGGCATGGTCTTCTTAATCTCCTCGTAACTCAACAAACTCGCAAGCGCGGTGATAGGAAACACCCAGAAGAAGAATATTAACATCATCATTCCTAACACAATCAGCTCGCGTGCGCGGGTCACATTTGTCGAATGCGTCATGTTATCCCAAACGATGTCGCGAGGCTCTGGAGCAAGGACTGTTGTACATTGTAATGGTTGTGGTGCATGTGCGACTTGCGCTGCGATTTGCTATAATAAATTTATTAGCTTATGATCGTGAAATGGAATGCATGGCAGGACTTAATTGAAAACTTACTGCACTTGACATTTTTTCGAAGGTTACGAATGCTGTATGGGACGCTTTAAATTTTCCCGTTTTCCTCTTCTGCTCCACTGCATGGTTTGCCTCCTTGAATTGCGCCTCGAGATATTCCAGGGCGTCCACCTTGCGTCTGAACCAGCTGGGTCTAATTGTAGGCCTCTTGCGATGAGGAACAACTAACGGAGCAGTCCGATTAGGGGAAGACGACCGCCCTTCTTCAATGTCGATTAGAGGCGGAACCGCACTATTTGATGGGTCGTATACGTCTACATTGCTTGGATTTCCGAGGTAATCCGTCCAAGCCTTCTCCAATTTCAACAAAGCGTCCGTTCTGCGATCAATCAGCTCCTTGAGAGTGGATACTTCTCTACATAGGCTGACACTCTCGACGGTCAGATCCATATTTTCAAAATAGACCGCGAGTGCCCGTTCTCCACGCAAGTGATTAGGGAGATCGGAGACCATCACCGTACGTGCAGCGATAGAGTGGACTAGCTCAAGCGAAAACAGCTGTCGTGCCCGGATGAATCTGGCGTAATTCTTGTGGATAAATCGAAGTGCGAGGAAGGTGAAGATGTAGGTGAATAACAGATGAACGGAGAGGTAAGAGTTGGCATCGTTCAAGAGATCCATCCAGTCTCTTCCTGACCCTTGTGACGGGGGCTTCTTTGGTGGGTCATCATCCAAAGCAGTATACCAATCTGGGTCGCCATCCTCGTCAGTGGGCATGCCAATATTATTCTGCACAAATGTTTTAGGAAAGTCGCTGGAACCTGCGTATTGAATAACTTTTACCTTGTAATTTATGGGCATTAAGATCGCAATCGCAAGTAAGGACATAACCGTGAAGAGATAGAATGACATCTTGAAGAAATTCAAGAGCTAAGAGTAGAAATGGCATAAGAGTCAGCAAAGATCAAGTCATGCTGGTAAGTTCGAGCGGAGCAGCTCACCACAGCCGCATCCAAGCCTACTATCTGAAGAATTGTGATCTCGGAGGTCTTAATGGTGGGAAGTATCCACCCAAAGAAGGCTGAGTGAGCATGAGCTTCATGAGGAGAGAAACCTAGGGCGACTGAAGTCAAAAAAAACAAGTCCAAATTTAGAAATTATGTGAAGTCATACCTTTGAGTTTCGTCCTCGGAGCAAACAGCAAAGGCCATCGGGTCCTCGAATAGGAGAAAAGAAAGAAGGAAACGATTCCGATTGTGAGTGATAACACGAGTTGAGTCCTGAACCATGGTCCTTCAAAGGTGCCTATGCGCCACTATTGAGAGAGGAACAGTTGCGAAACAAGAATTATGCATACGAGTTGGCGGAGAGCCTGGAGGAGCGGGAGTATCTGGATCGTCGAGAAACAGGTCCATGAGGTTGATCATCGTGCTGTGTAGTAAATATGGAGGTGTCCAAGCATATTATTGCTTTGCGGACGTGAAACTCGTTGAGCACGCTGTTGGAGGCAGCGTTGCGTTCCGTATGTCCCGTGTGCAGCGTCGGGTCGTGGCGGCCGGTGGCGCGTGATCGTGAGAAGCAATCCATGGCAAGGATGACCTGCTGGAGTGGCTTTGCACGCGACGCGACTGGTCCTGCACTCCCTTTGTCACTAACCATTGAGCCTGTGTACATACCTGACCTTCAAGATGCCTCCTCCTGCTAATACTGTGTGTTGGTACTGCTTCTCATATCTGTAATATCATGCTCAGTGACATAACCCAGATGACAATGAAACGAATAAACCGCGAAATCAAGGATTTAGGCAAGGAAGATTTGGGAGACATGACCTTGGAACCTGAGGAAAATAACATGTTCGTATGGAAGGTCTGTATTCACACCTTTTAGTGCTCTTTCCCTCATAATATTCACCTGGTTCTCCGCTAGGCTTCTATACCCGGGCCAGAAGGCAGCCCCTATGAAGGTGGTGTTTTCAATCTCAAAGTTGAGCTAGCACAAGATTACCCGTGAGCAAAGTAGTGTGTTACACTTATTGTTTACTTACAACTTTCTTTAGCTTTTCAGCACCAAAATTCACCTTCACCACTAGGTAAGTTCTGATGGGTCACTGCATTCTCACAGGCCTGCACAACGTGGTTCCGCCCACGGACTGACTGCAACGATCAGCTTTGACCTTGATTCTGACTGTCCTTATACCATGCCTCTCCAGAATATACCACATGAATGTATCTGATAGAGGAAACATATGTATTGATATATTGAAGCAGAATTGGTCTCCTGCTCTATCCCTCTACAAAGTCCTTCTTTCGTTATCCTCTCTCTTGACGGATCCCAATCCAAGTACGTTTATTCTCCTATTCGGTTGCAAGAATGCTCTGACCTCTATTCTGAATTATTAGAGGACCCTCTCGGTCAGTAGCGATCGCATTTACAACGTTATGATTCTAATAAGTAATTGTGCAGTACCCGCAATTGCATCTCAATATGTTCGGAGCCGATCAAAGCACGACAGTACAGCACGAGAATGGACGCGTCTATATGCACAAAAGCCCGCAGAACCATCGAGCCCACCTTCCCGTGCTAAAGGTAAGGCACGAGCCGAACCAACAGCTACATCTTCTGTGAGCGTCGAAAACGGCCGAACGGGACGCGCACGTCGTGCACCTCAGAACTCTCAACCACTCACCAACGGTGGTGTAATCGACATTAGTGAAATGGATGATGGCTTGACTACTAGTCGTGATTCCGGAAGAGGCGGGGCACGCACGCGAACTGGACAAGGAACGAAGCGTAAACGAGATTTGGATGATTCCACCAATGCTGAGGGGGACGCTTCGAGGCGAAGGCGGATTAGCCCGGAGAGAACTGGGGAAGTTATCGTTATTGAGGATTGAATTTTCTATCTTGGTTTTACTATATCGGAGGAAACGTTTTGTGCAAAACATATTATAACAAGTTGTGTACTGTCCAATCGATTATTTGCTTTTAGAAACAGTCAAAGAGGAAATTGCTTTCGTATCCAGTGGGGTCATTAGCTTCTACGTTTTCTGCTATTGCCAGCGTCTTCCGTAGCTTTTCCCTCCGTTTGCCATTCTTTGTCTCTTGAGCGATTTCGTTTTATTTTTATCTTGTTTTTGATTGACGAAGGAACTCGCCAGCACAAATATTAAGTATATGAGTGAATAGGATTTAGAAATCTGTAGACTATGTCACGTGCGAGCGTCTCTGACAGTGAGTCTGAGTGACACAGTTGGTTACCGTGCTGGTCCCCAACTCTTAGCACTAAACTTAACACAGCTGACTATGAGCAGGCTTTGAGGACAAAGGACGATTTCAGGTAATGCATCCTCCATGTTCTACTTTCTTACCCCTTGCTGAACAAATATGATAACAAGGAGTATTGGAGTTACTGACAAGCATTGCCACAATCCAATTCCAGCATGGAAGACCATGTGAAGCTTAGTTTGACCAGTCGTGTACTTTGGCAATTGGCTAATGAACACTTAAACAAATTTGAGGAATCAAGGGATTGGAGAGAAATTGACACGTGCATTTGCTATGGTCGTACTGTACTTGAACTCTGTCCCGAAGGACATCCGGGTCGTAGAAAAACGTTGATCTATCTTGGGTGGCAGCTCAGGACACGATTTGTGGAGAACATGAAATTAGAGTACCTGGATGAAGCGATCGAGTATTATCGTAGCGGCTTACCGCTCTGCCCTGACGGCCATCTTGATCGGTCCCTAGCTCTGAATGGGCTCGCAGAATCCCTGCAAACTCGATTTGAGCACCTTGGACAGATTAAAGACCTCGAAGAGGCCATCGAGCATCGTCGTGCTGACCTGCAGCTTTGCCTCGATAGCAATCCTAATCACTCTGCATCTCTGAATAACCTTGCGATTTCCATCAAAACTCGTTTTGAAGAGCGGGGGCAGACCGCGGACCTCGACGAGGCTATCGAGTTAAATCGTGCTGCTCTGCAGCTTTTCACTGGCGATCATCCTGATCGTGCTGCATCTCTGAACAGCATTGCTGCTTCCCTCAAAACTCGATTTGAACGGCACGGACAGACTGTAGGCCTTGACGAGGCCATCGAGCATCGTCGTGCTGCCTTGCAACTTTGCCTCGACGGTCATCCCAATCGTCCAGCGTCGCTGGCTAACCTTGCCAACTTACTTCAATCTCGATTTGAACGGCATGGACAGATTGCAGACCTCGATGAGGCCATCAAACTGAACCGTGTTACCCTACTACTTCGCCTCGACGGCCATCCCGACCGTCCTAGATGTTTGATTAACCTTGCGCATTGCCTAGTCACTCGATTTGACCAGCACCGACAGACTGCGGACCTCGATGAGGCCGTTGAGCATCAGCAGGCTGTCCTGCAACTTCTCCCCGACGATCATGCCGAGCGTCTCATATTACTGAATAACTGCGCGAGTTTCCTTGGAATGCGATTTGACGAACATGGACAGATTGCAGACCTCGATAAGGCTATCAAGCTGAATCGTGCAACCCTGGAACTTTGCCCAAACGATCATCCCTCTCGCTCCAAGTATCTGACCAACCTTGCAATTTCACTTCAACGTCGATTTGAACAGTATGGACAGATTGCAAGCCTTGATGAGGCCATTGAGCATCTTCGCGCTGCCCTGCAACTTCGCCCGATGGCCATCCCGGTCACTCTGCATCTCTGGATATCCTCGCGGCTTCCCTCGCAACTCGATTTGAACAGCGAGGACAGACCGCGGACCTCGACGAGGCCATCGAGTTAAATCGTGCTGCCCTGCAGCTTCGCCCCGAAAGACATTCCGATCACTCCAAGTCCCTGGATAGTCTTGCTACTTCCCTTGGATTGCGATTCGAACGGTATGGACAGGCTGATGATCTCGATGAGGCCATTGAGCTGAATCGTGCTGCCCTGCAACTTCGTCCCGATGGTCATCCTGATCGCTCCGGGTCTCTGAGTAATCTTGCGACTTTCCTTAACGAACGCTTTCACCAGCATGGGCGGACCGTGGACCTTGACGAGGCCATCAAGCATTATCGAGCCACTGTGCAACTTCTCCCCGACAGTCATTATGCCCGCTCCAATTCCCTGACCAACCTAGCGAATTCTCTCAAATCCCGATTTGATCAGCACGGACAGACTGTAGACCTCGATGAGGCTATCGAGCTAAATCGAGTTGCCCTGCAACTCCGACCCGACGGTCATTCTGATCGCTCTGGGTCTCTAAATAGTCTTGCAATCTCCCTTTTGACCCGATTCGATCAGCATAGACAGAATGCAGACCTCGATGAGGCCATTGGTCTAAATCGTGCTTCCCTGCAACTTTGCCCCGACGGCCATATCGGTCGCCCTATTTCTTTGACTAACCTTGGGATTTCTCTCAACACCCGATTCGAGCAGCATGGAAGGACTGAGGACGTCGACGAGGCCATCAAGCTGCATCGTAGTGCCTTACAGCTCCGCCCCGAAGGCCATCCCAGTCGCTCCATGTCTCTGAATAACCTTGCTTATTCATTGCTCTCTCGGTTCGACAAGTTTGGGTTCATGGACAACTTTGAAGAGTGTATACAATCCCTTGACCGTGCTTCCGAGCATGAGTTCTCCAGTATTATAACCCGGCTTGATTCTGCCAAACAATGGGCTGACCTTGCCCGAGAGCATGCCCACCATACCACACGCAGAGCTTACAGGGTGGCAATACTGCTCTTACAGCGTGCCCTCATCGTCAGCCCCACTCTTCATGCACAGCATGAGTTCCTTAGTAGGGATTTGGATTACGGGATGCTCACGTTGGATGCAGTATCCTATGCTATAGAGGGAAATAGGTTTGAAGAGGCTATAGAGATACTTGAGCAAGGAAGGGGTTTACTCTGGTCACAGATGCGTGGTTTTAGGACGCCTCTAGATCACCTTGCAGAAGCAAATAGAGAACTTGCCAGCAGGTTCAGGAATGTCAGTTTGCAGCTAGAGAACCTTGCAACGTTGTCTACTATGTTGCAGTCTAATTCAAGCACGCCCGGAAGCGAGTCATTGGAACGAGAATCGTTCGGAGCGAGTTTGAAATTGAAGAGGAAGCTCTCTAATGAGCTGGAGGAGATCACTAAGAAAATACGACAAATTCCAGAATTTGAGAGTTTTCTCGCAGCTACGCCGTTTAAAGTGGTCCAGCACGCCGCTTCGGAGGGCCCGGTTATTGTAATCAATGTTTGCAAACATCGAAGCGACGCACTCATTATTCTTTCCCGCGAGGATCTACCGGTTGTCCTTGTACCATTAGATGCGGGGTTCGCCAAGGATAGCATCGAGTCGTGTGGCGAGCTGGTGCAAGCGCGAAATTCTCATAAAGCTGGTTCATCCGAATACGACAAGAAACTCCTCGAAGCGATGAAGATGCTATGGGATAGGGTGGTCTGCAAAGTTGTCGACAAACTTGAAGAGCTCGGGATTCCCAAGGGATCGCGCATCTGGTGGTGTCCTACGTCCGTACTTTCTTCTCTTCCTTTCCATGCGGCAGGACCGTTCAAAGATGCAGATGGCACTGTAAAGTATCTATTGGATGACTACGTGTCATCATATACTCCGAGCCTTGGTGCTCTCATAAATGCCCGATCAAGGGGAAACAAGAGCAATCCTAATATGCTCATTGTTGCCGACACCAAATCTCTTGCGTCAACTGAAAAAGAAGTACTTGCCGTTCTAAACAAAACCCGGCACTATGTTTCATCTTATACAAGACTCCTCAACAAGAAGGCACTTCGGAGCACAGTGACAGAACGACTACAGGGTGTCACGTGGATCCATTTTGCTTGCCATGCACATAGGGCATTTCACAATTCCTTACCTTAAAAAATAACTTA